CTGCCTGTCCAGACTGCCACCTTGGTCAGTATAATGAGTACTGCCCAAGTCCTGGATCTGCCCAGTTACCTCTGCAAATTATTATATGCCATTTTTTTTGGGTTTTGCACATTTTCCTTTCTGATCTCTCTCTCTCATTCTCTATCTCTCCCCCTCCCCCCACCCTTAATTTCCACTCCCAAAGCTAAATCCTGCAACAATTACTCTTCATTTTATAGGCTTTAACTGCTTTCTGTCAACCTCCACTTTTCTTTTTTGACAGATTGTATTTGCTTTTGTTCCTTTTTTACTATTTTTAGGCTGCCCTGAAGTAACTTTTTAAGCAAAATGGCTCTTAAACATCCAGCAACAACAGAGCAAGTATTTGGGAAGGTGAAGTGATGAACAGATTTATTTCACTTACAAAGGATAAAAGAGACTAGTGGTGTCCTTCTGCTACTCTGAGGTGCTCTTTATGAAATAACTTTTTTAATGGCAAACCAGCTGCCATGACAGCATTAATGAGGACAGACGAGTAATTTGCAGCATGGGCAAAGTGAAAATTATTTTCAGAGTATAATCTTGGGTTAGCAAAGTTTATAAAAGTTAAAACAACATGTAAAGGAAGGACTTCGTTTTATTTAATTCAATTTGCATCCTATGCTTCCCAAGGCTTGAGATGGCTAACTCTTAAAAACCAACCAAAATGCACAGTAAAACAAAAATAGCTAGTTAGAATAAAGTTATAACAGTGTTTTGAACAGCTACTTATAAAATACAGGTTGTTCCCAAATTATAAACATCTGAGTTATGAACAACCCATACTTATGAACTGCTATGTAGCCTATTAATTAAAAAATACTGCAGAAAATCTTCATCTCTATAGAGAGATGGAAAGCAAAACACCTTCCTGGCCTGCCCATCTGGAGAGGGAAATCTCTTTGGCATTTCCTTGCTGCAAAGAAGAGGCACTCGTGAGCTTGGACATGTGGTGGGTAGAGAAATTTGTGGTTTTTCCACTTTCATGGGGGTCCTGTGCCCCATGAATGTGCAGGGTGGACTATATGCAGCCCAGCTTACATACAAATTTGATTTACAGACAAATTGCAATTTTCTCACGAATGGAATGGAACTCATTCAAAAGCCTGTACATTTAGTTGCCTGTACAACTAAAAAAAGTTATAATTAAAATACTAGACTCATCAGTTAAAAACACATCCAATAAAACACAAATAAAAATGAAGGACAGATAAAAGCATATCAGTAAGAAATAAATAAAAGCACTCACCAGATTAAAAACCCAATTGGCAGTGAATCAACCTAGAAGCCAAATGTGTGAATAAAAATGGTGTTGAGAATATTAAAACCAGGCTGATTCACATGGGAGAAAGTGGTTTTTCAAATAACTTTCTCTGAACCCATGTAGTGGAGTATCCCTTCGTCTGATACTGTGGAACCTGCAGGCAAATGAATCTAGCTCAGAGTTGGACACATTTTAGCTCCCCATCTGCTGAATGAACCCAAGTCTGCTGGCACTCCTAGGCATGGTCTCAGAAATGGTGAACTGCTATAGCCTCTTGAGGGATGGTTTTGTGAACTCCATTCCCCAGGTGTAGAAGTGTGCCCCGCAGAAGCTGCGAGGGGACAGCCATATATCTGTGTCCCTGATTCAGGTTCTATCAACTGCAAAGCTACGTACTGCTTTGAGGGTGTCTGCCACATTGGGACTAAAGACGGTACTGCAAGTGTCAAACCCAACAACACACTTAAATGCATTAGAATTAATGCATTTTTAAAAGTTTTTCATCCCCTTCCAGCAGTCTGTTGGGATTTAAACTTCCAGGAGAAACATGAAATGTTAGTAACTCCATGAGCTTCCAAGGTTAGTTGTCCTCACATTAACTTCTTAAGAATCTTGGGAAAGAAGCAAGTCCTTAAAAATACTCACTCCTGGTGATGTTATCAGGCTCCAGTAGGGAATGGTGCTAGAGCATAACAGGAAATTTATTCCATGTATAAAGGCAAACTGCCTTCCAGACCAATCAGTAAGCAATCTCATTTAGAGCCTATAATGTTCCCCCCTCAAACATGCCTAAGCTTGCACTGTAAAAGCAGCAGGAAATACTTTATCGTGGTTATCCATATTCCCGAAAAGGCTTCTCAGCTTCATCCCATGAGGCTAGCCTAGTGCTCTGTCAGTGCTGGGTGCCTCTTAGCGCTCAGACTGAATTCAGGTTTTTATTCTCTGTTAAGATCCTTAGTGTGTCCTCAGAGTAACTCAGTATCTAACCAAGAATGCCAGGGCAAAATTCAGTCCTTTTTTAAAAAAAACTTCCATCACAAACATAGCACTTAGATCCCAAAACTTTTTGTTCTGTCTGGTCATGCATATTCCAGGGTCAGGAGGCAGTTGTAATCCCCTTCCTCATTTCATTGCAGTCAGATTCATTTTATAATAAGAATGCTCTAAAATGTACTAACAATAGGAACATGACATGAAGGACACTGACACCATAGTTCTAAGTGCAAATGTGATGTATTGTGCCCTTTCCTGACACCAGCTGCTAAGGTTCAGTGCACACATAGCACAGAAGAAGATTTGCTCTATGTATTTGATGTCTTCAAAGCTGTATTCTAATTCTACAGTTAAAGAGCTAAGAAGCTGGTATGACTTTGTGGCTTGGAACAGTGAACCAGGTTCTTACCTAATTCATGTACTAGAGGTAGTGGCTTGGTCCCTTTGCTAGTATACTGCTTAGTACATTTTTTTTGAATGCTGCCAATGCCTGGGGGAAGTGATTTTGACTGGAACTGAGGCAGAATGTATTCAGTTCGGGGTGGTCTGGGTGAGGGGGCACTCCACGCTGGTGCCATCATCAACTTCCACCTCTTGGGTGTGTGGTGCAGGACCAGCTCCAAGAGACCAGGTCCAGGTGAGGGGCTGTGGGGCTCTCTGGGGCTGCAGCTGGGCAGAGTGGTGGGGACCCCTTTCCATGGGCTGTGCATCTCAAGCTGCTGGCCAGGGAAGTCTTTTTCAAGGTATAGGGGCAGAGAAGGAGTCAGCTGGAGCTGAGGGTCAGACTAGATGGGTCAGGATAAATTAATAAAATAGAAATAAGAGATTTTCTGCTTGTGGGTCTGTGGCCTGAGGAGAGGATAAGGGCTACAGAAAGATGTGGACATGCCAGATCAGAGCAACCTTCAGATGGGATCTGGAGGTTTCCCATGTGTGCAATAAGGATTATTAACATAATATATGCAGAATCATTTGAACATTCTGTTATGCTATATAAATGTGTGAGCATATAATTTAGGGGCATTTTATTATGAAGAACCTACACGAATTGGTAGGAATGGGCATTGGTTTAAACAAGTCTGTCTTGGCCTGATTTACGTTAATTAAGTCTGCGTCAACTAGTATGATTTGTAGAATTTAGCTGGTGTAAGATCTTGGGATCACAGTAGTTTTATAAAATTTGCAGAAATATAGAACTATTTCTCCTGGCTTGGCTTCTCACCCAATATGCTGAGCACTAAAACCTAGTGTACATTGTTATAAAACTACTATTTTTCATACCATTGGAAATATTAATTATTTATTACATTCATTATCCAACTTTCTGTCAAAAATAGTGCTGTAAAATTGGGTCCTGAATTTTTTTGTTTCCGCTTTCCTCACTGTTGCTGTTTTCTTTACTGTTATGAAATAACAGTTATGTCTTTTGGACTGTAACACATGGACCGTGTTGTTTTTATTGATCACATGTCAGCTGCTCTTGGAAACATTTAATCTGAAGAGAGGGTAAAATGACTGGAATAATTCCTCTATGAAGAAAGGTTACAACATTTAGAGCTTTGCAGTTTTGTAAAAAGACAATGTATAAAATTATGCATGAAGTGGAATAAGTGGACAGGGACACATTTTTCCTTTTTGTCATCAATAATACTAAAATCTAGAGCTCATCCAATGAAGCTTGAAGGTGGGGAACTCAGGATAGAGAAAAGGAAGTACTTTTTCATGTGGCACACAGATAAGGCCACCAATATAGATGGCCTTAAAAGGGAATTAGACGATGGCTACTAGTCAGGATGGTTATATATTCTGCCTCCAGTACCAGAAGCAACATTGCTCTCTATGTCTGAGGAAGAACCATGGGAAAGAGTTATGCTTGTGGATTTCTCAAAAGCAAGATAAGAGCTGGTGTCTCTAGTTGTCAAGGGACTGAGCAAAAACCCTCCTTCAAATCTCATCTCTGCTATGAACTCTGTCTTCCACAAGCCACTTTTGCCACTCCTCTCATTCATAACATGGAGGGTAATACTAACATACCTTACAAGGTTGCTGGAAAGATTATATCTAGAGAATGCACCTGAAGCACTTTCCACACTTGAAAGGGCTACAGAAACGTTAAAGGAGAAGAAAGGATTTTTTTTCCTCTAAGAAGTTAACTTGAAATGAGATTGCATATAGTGTGCATGGTCACCCAACTTTTGCCTCTGGAAAACCAGTTTTGCAATTCAGATACAACAGTGCGGGGGGAAAGAATATGTGTACAAGATTTGGGAGGTTCTGCTTCTGTTCAGCCACTTTCAATTATTCCCTGTCTCCAGCCTAAGATTATCTTATATTTCATTTTTGAAAAATGATCATTATTTGTTTATTTTTACATTTGTATGCCATCCCCCTACTTCAAGGGGGGTGTCTCTGGGCAGCATTATATTTGGTGGCTTTTATAATCTTCTATTCCAGTCAAAGGGGAAAATGTTTTAGGAGCCTGTTGTATCCTGGTAGTGTTTAGTGGGAGGCAGGTGTGAGTATTTCAATACAGCAGTTGAAGCTTCCATTTCAACCACCTTGTTAAACCCCTGACTCTCACCTTATGGTCTAATTCAGCACTTACCTGTCATTCACACTTTGAAAGGGTGTTATTTCTTCTGGCGGATCCATGGAAATATTTATGTTTTGTCCCTAACACACATCTCTATTTTTTCCCCTTCTTACTTTTTTTTTCTCCCTATAGCTGTGGGTGTGCAAATTAAACTGGAATTACTCCAGCGCAAGTTTTGGATGACTACACAGCAGGTAAGAATGTGGAAATTTATGCTGAGGTACAATTTAAAAACAGAGGAAACCACTTTCCCTCAGCTAGTCTCATTAAATGTATGTTGATACAAATGGGACAGCTGATATTTTCTTTGCCGCATTTCCACAGGAGTCTTCATGAAATGTGTATTCAACAGAACTGGGCAATAGATTAGTTTTAAAATTACACATTTTGCTAATCTGTTGACAACTTTAATGCTGCATCAGCTGTCAGTCTGTTCTCAGAATGTCATGTTAAAAGTCACAAGCCTGGCATGGCATTAAATCCACAGCAGCTGACACATTTACTTGTGGAATTATGTTTGTATTAATTCAGCCATTCAAAATCCTCTTCAAGTTCAGGTAGGATGTTTTCCTGTTCCCCTCGACTAACCAGTTTGCACTGCTCCCCAGTATATTGCCTCTCCATTATCTAAATGACCATATGTACTTCCCCAAATTATTTTCCAAGTATTTGGAATGTATTGCCTCTAGCATTTACAGGAAGATACCAAATTGCAAATAGACTTCAAACAATGAGGAAAGTCTTTGGTTACATAAATAGGGCAGTCAGGATTCAACAACCCAAAATATCATTGTTGTTAGTCATGAAGTTGTGTCCGACCCATCGCGACCCCATGGACAACATTCCTCCAGGCCTTCCTGTCCTTCACCATCGCCTGGAGTCCACGTAAGCTCACACCAACTGCTTCAGTGACTCCATCTAGCCACCTCATCCTCTGCCGTCCCCTTCTTCTTTTACCATCTATTGTTCCCAGCATCATGGTCTTCTCCAGGGAGTCCTTCCTTCTCATCAGGTGGCCAAAGTATTTGAGTTTCATCTTCAGTATCTGGCCTTCTAAAGAGCAGTCAGGGTTGATCTCCTCTAGGACTGACCAATTTGCACCCATATCATGGTCCCACTGAAAATCCTTCTCTTTACCCAAAGCTATTGCATCAAGAAGGGTTTCCCTCTCAAAGGAAATGGTAACTTCACCACTGGATTTCAGAAAGACCACTGTGTTGTGAGAAAGGGTAAAAATCTTACTCAATGCACCATGGTCTGATGCTGTTCAGGATAATACCCATAGAGCATTTATTTTGGGTGCTATAAAAATACATATCCCAGGTTGTAGCCTGTTTTGTTTTGTTGTTTTGTTTAGTAGCTTTTATTTAAAAAGGATGGCAATAATAGGTTATTAGTTTCTGCCTGTCAGGCAGATACAATTTTAGAAAGTATGAATATCAAATATTATGTTTATTGATTTAGACATTTTAACACTCATATGCAAGCATTATCCAAATATTCATAATGTTTCTCAAACTGTCCCTAATTCATTTGAACTTTGTAAGATAGTACAAAAGGTTTTGATACAGACAATTGCATAATAATATGTTGGCACAAAATGTGCATATGATGGTATCTTTTCAAGCTAGGCCAAGGTTATTAAGTCCAACTGGGTTTATTTTTGTTTATAAAATTACAATCCATATTTCCAACTCAATCAAAAGTGTTCAAAATTAAGTAAAAATTACCTAAAAACATCTATATATGAGCTATTCTTTCCTAGCTCTACCCAGAGATGCCAGGGATTGACTTTAGCTTGCATATTCTCTACCTTTAAGCTATAGCTCTTCTCCTCAGTTTCTCTCATTAAAATCAAATGAAAATACACAGAGATATAGTCTACATGATATGGCAAAGCTCATGGTATGTCCTAGGGTTATGCAAGCGTTGTTTAACACTTGCATAACTCGGAATGACTAGGTTCACACAACAGTACACCTCCCATTTGTTGCGAGCTGTGTGTACTGCAATTTTACCAGGGTTTAAATAATCTAAGGTGGATTGTTGCGTTGTGTGAGCCAGCCACATTGTAGTCTTATGGCTGAGTCTACAGAAGTGCCATCTTCTTATTTTGCCCTAACTCCAGCTAGGCTGAGTTCCATGCATATCTTTTCAATAAGCATGTTGAATCCCCAGGCACAACATGGTGTAGACATGGAGGGAAGAACAGGTTACGCAGGATAGAGAGTCATGAATGAGTAATTCAGGGCACAATCCTAGGTACATGTATTCAGAAAAATCTTACAACTCCCAGCTGGAATTGCTTCTTTCTGTTTACACATTCATAAGGTTATACCATTAATTAATGAGGGCTGTTTGTGTGTTGTTCACATAGCATTCTTGAGAGCCACAATTTAGAAATTTAGCATTTTGAACTTTTGCATATCCATATATACTATTTAAAATGTATCTAGGGTGTGAAGGTTATGACTGAGGACATTAAAAAGAAGCTTTTGCTCATATTGCAGGCTTTCTTTCCAGCACTCACTCATGTGTAACAAGCCTTTTCTTAACTCACTGGTACTCAGTAGCCATTCAGTATGGAATCACTAATGGACATTTGTCTCTTTTCCTTTCCTTTCCATGTACTGCAATGAACTGTTTCTTCATTTACCATGTCCTAGTCTAATGACACTGATGTAAGTAATTTAGAACACCAGGATATTTTCTAGAATTGCTTGCCTGTGGTCTTCATGAAGCACTGCAACTCATGAGTCATTTGTGTGTCATGTATTGAATAGAATACTTTTCTGTGTATAAATACCATAGACAAAGCAGACTTTGTTACTGAGACTTTACAAGCCGAAGGAGGTGACTTGAATAATGGAAAAGGAAGTAAAATTCAGAAATGGGCATTATTATTTATGAAATAATTTCATATTGCATATTGACTTGAATGCTAACCCTGTATGCACCTATTATCTAACCTAATACTTTTGAGCTTTAGCTTACTTCATAGGAAAGTAAAATGTAAGCTATCAAATGCAGGAGACCTCTGACTATAACCATGAGAGGTGCTTATAGATCCATGTTTATTCAGTTGATCTCATGTTCTGATTCATTACTGGGTGACTTTTAACTAGTTTTGCAGAAAAGTTCACAAACATTGCTAGCATGATCTTTCCTATGATAGTTGATTATGTCACACTGACAACCTGAATAAAACTGAGGGAGGGAGGGAGGGAGGGAGGGGAAAGCTCTTTAGCTGTTAAAACATGGCTGGCATGTTTCTTAGAAGTTTTCACTCTCTACAGACCTTCCAGCTAGTACCAATTTACAGATTTAACACAGAGAACAAGAGAGGACTAAACAACACTAGTATCACTCCAGTTTGGTTAAAATACCTGGTTAGTGAGATTAGAAGTCAAAGGATTACAGTGGGTTGGAACACCCATTGTTTCACGTTTTTCTTAATAAATAATTTCCAAGAAGTAAGATGCCTGCCTGCTATCACAGAAACTGTTTCTTCTAGCATACATCTTTGCACCAGTGAAAGTATAGGTACAGCTAATCCCAGTGAATGCAGCTATGCTAAGTGAAACCAGACTTTATATAGGAGATAGAGTCTTTTACCCATGTAATAGATATGACACGCCTTGTGGCATTTACTGAAGTTTCTGCATCCCACTAGGCATTTTCATTAATTTTCAGATGGACACAGGAATGGTAAACAGAATATTATAGTTCTGATTATCATGATCCATTCTTCTCTCTGGGAATTATTTGCATTCCTATTTTATAGGCTAGTGCAGCTCAATCAAAGGGATACTGTAAGTGTGGATTTAAATCTGCATCTCCAATTATCTGTCTGGGTGCCATCCTCTTTTGACCTAAAATAATGTCACAATAACCCACATTGAAAGCAAAGAAAGCTGGTGTGGTTAACTACTCACTAAGCCACACTGTTGCTGACAGGCAGTTGTGCTTTTGCTGGCTTGCCATGCTTTGTTTCCCCTTCTTCCTTCTTCCCAGTCTCAACATATATCGCAGAGTCCTTTCCAGCACAACTTCTCTATACTGCTGCTGTGTTGAGTTTAACTTTTCCTGCCTTTTAAAGCATCTATGTCTGTCTATCCGTCCATCTGTCTGTCTGCCTATATCCCACACTGAGAGCCAGTGTGATGTAGTGGTGAAGAGTGTGGGACTGGGTCTTAGGCAATCTGGAACCATTTTGGGTGACTTTGGGCCAGTCACAGACTCTCAACCCAACCTACTTCATAGGGTTGTTATTATGGGAATAAGGCTGAGAGCAAGAGGAGGAGAAAGATGTAAGCTGCTTTGAGATCTTTAAAATAGAAAACAGACAGGGTATAAATCTAATAAATAAAATCTTCAGGGTTGAGTTGGGGAGCTTAACTTACCTTTTAGGATGGGGTGATTGATTTTTTTTCCTTCTTCAACACTATCTTCCTTACCACCTTGCTCTCTTCCTACCAGAGTTTTTCCTTAAAGCACCCCTAGGTAAGCATACATAGTCCCAGTTGAGGACTATGGCAGTTTCGGAGAAGGGGTTTCAGTTTTATCCCTCCTGTTTTTATGCAGGAGAAAGGTTTTAGAAGGTTTTAAAAGGATGAAACTTTTTTTCTTTTTAAAAAATCTCCCCATGGGGTGAGTTTTCAGCATAAAACAGGAAGCAAGAAAGCTTCAGTCCCCGTCTCCTGAATCAGCATAGTCCCAAATTGGAGCCACACACAATTATCAAAGGTAGGCCAGTCACTCATATCTGTGCTAACTTGGCTTACAGAGGACAAAGATGGCTGCTGCCAAATGAAGTGCAAAGTTGCTGGAGGATCAGTAGAAGACACCATGAGAAGTGGCTGGGTTTTTCCTTCTCTTGCGAGGTGGCCCTGTAGCATTTTCCAGCTAAACATGCAGAAGCCTTCTGATGGGTTTGGATGTCACAACAAGCCACCCTGGAAACAAACCATACTGAACAACCCTAAAATAAGCCATGGTAGTTCCGAATGACTGTGTGCAGACAACCCAACAAGCTATGGTGGTTTTTTACCATTGTTGGCCTGTCATGTTTTCTGCACCAAGTCCTAGTATTTCACCATAGTAACTTTGGTCTTTGTAAACCATGATAAGAATCAATGGTTTGTTCTGTGGTTTCTCTGTGCCACCATGGCTTGTCGTGTGGTCTGAATGTAGTATCATAGTTTCCACAGTCTCATTAACAGGCAACATACACAGGAGTGAGGCACTTTTGGATTGAATTTCATGTTCAGTGGATGATGGGATACATGCCACCAGTGGGAGGAATGAGCAGGGAGCCTGGAAACTATGTTAAAGTAGAAGCCACTTGATTGTCAGATTGTGGTAAAAAACTGAACCATGGTAACCACACAGGGTTGCTTGTTGGGTTGTCTGGACCCAGCTGATGGCTGTACATGCTGGAAACTACACAGTGTTTGGATATTACAACAAGCAACCTGAAAGAAACAAGCAGTCTACTGTAGGTTTTTGTGTTGTACGAACTGGTACAATCCAATATCTATAGTAAATAGAAGATGCTGTAGTTATCTTATAGATATTCATTGCCAAAGGTGGCACAGGCCAGGAAGAGGACCTCTTTTTTAAATAGTCTGCTAAAAAGTATGAAGTGGGGTTAATACCTCTCCTAGCTTTCTTACATAGGATTACCAAATCCGTATACTGGCAAATTTCGATTCATTTATTTCTTAGTATTCATTCTGCCTTTTTTAAATATAGAAAAAGACTGCTCGGTCACTAATAAAATATGTCTTAAACTTTGACTTCTGTTTGAAGGGATAAGCAATTTGGGGACAATAAGCTTTGCTCAGTCTAAGCCAATCAATTATCCTGTATGTCTTAGTTGGGTCAAAAGAATATGAGCCTGTCACTTTCTATCCCGGTCACTATAACTCAGTTGTTGATGTGTCTTCCCACTTTAATGACAGATTTTTCCAACATGTTGAGTCAACCAGAGGGTTCAATTATGTGCCTTGAGTTAATATTAACTTCAAAAGAAGGAAAAAGACAACCATGACAGAATACACATTAGAAATATCCATATTTTCTTCTATTATTATTATTATTATTATTATTATTATTATTATTATTATTATTATTATTGAATTGGGAAAAGCAACATTTACATCATCTTTTCCCTTGTGCATCTCAGATACCAACAGCACTCTAAATTTAAAGAAAACACCAAAATAGCATTGCAAAATAATAGAGTGAGACAGACCTACAGCAGTAAGCACAGAATGCAAGATAATTATGAAACGCATATGCCGGCAGGATTTTCTTACTCACTAATTCACCTTTTATGTCCTGTTCAATTCAGCATTGCGGCACACATCAGCTTTGGTTCACTGTAAATCTCTAACAGCAGTAAATGGACAGTGTCCAATGCCCATGCTCACTATTCATGTATCATTTCTCAGAGCATTACCAGAAAACAAAAAAAGGCAATGTTGTCGCTACTGTCTCCACTGTGGAACAACCTTTGCTACTAAGAATGGGGCTATTTGGTTCTGTCATACCTTCCTGTGTCAAAAAAATGGCTTCGATACAATTAATATTTCTCAGTCTCCAGTAAACATACTTATTGAAGAGATTGAATGAAACACAATTTCTCACAGTGTACATGAAACCACTTATTTAACTTAGCTGCTTGTATCATCCTACCAAGAGATTATAACTTGACCACACTTCTACACCTTATTTATTTATTTATTTGGAATTCTTGTATGCCGCCCCATTCGCATAAGCCTCGGGGTGGCTTCCAACACATAAATAAATATCTATACAAATACATAAAAAACTGGAAACATCCTGGCATAATAATTTAAAACCAATAAATAAAACCAGCAATTATTAAAATAACATTTAAATAAAAAGGTCTTGGCCTGGTGCCGAAAAACAAATAACGACGGCGCCAGGCAGACCTCTCTGGGGAGCGCGTTCCATAAGTGGGGCGCCGCCGCAGAGAAGGCCCTCCTCCGGGTACTCACCCTCCTAATATCTTTCATGGAGGGTTCCCAGAGAAGGGCCTCTGCCTCCGATCTCAAGGGGCGGGAGGGCAGATATGGATGCAAGCACTCCTTTAGATAAATAGGTCCCAAGCCGTTAAGGGCTTTATAGGTGATAACCAGCACCTTGAATTGGGCCCGGACTTTGATGGGGAGCCAGTGAAGCTAGAATCAGAAATCTAGAAGAGGAATTAAAAATTTCACTTTGACATCTTACTAGACAATAGGTATAACCATTTTACCAAGTGGTTTCATGTATCCCATAAGAACTACCACTTGTCCCATGGTTTTCTACATTCATCCATTAAGGCCAGGATTCTATAACATGTCAACAATGTATTTTTGGTAATGTTTGATGGGGGACGCACATGTATATAAGTATAAGGGAAGTAATTATATGGGAGTGGTGATGGGCCTAAGCTCCCAGGCTCCTGTTTCCTGCATGTTTGCATATCCTTATTTAAATCTGGAGCATTACAGAAAAGACATGGTCAATATTCCATAGAAACATAGAGAGACAATCTTCTGTAATATTTGAAGTTGCCTATGGTTACTTAAGATGAAGTACAGTGAGATCATATTTACATGAACATTACTTAAATTTAACGGCGTTTAACTCTTGTTCCTTTTTCAGTGAGAGCAAAGTTAGGAGGAGGAGTTGACTTATTGTCAAATATTTGTACCCCTAATTGCTGAACTGCTTGTTAATGTGAAGCCCATTCTGAGATTTGTGAGTAGTATCAGAATAGAAGAGGCCTCCATAATTTGTATATAAGTACCTAATGCTGTTCAGGTAAATTCAGTTCAGTGTGGCAATATTTAACTCCTTTTCTTCAATTCCAGTGCAGTGCTGTGGATGGCCTGTGCCCTTTGAACTGTCAGGATGATGTAAGTTATTGGGATTTTTTTTCAGACATGTAGTTCAGTGGTTCAGTGTCATAATATGTAAATATTCTTATATATACACATCCCTGTGAGAACTCTGTGGCAGAGGGCCACTGTTATTCTCCAGTTTGTTGTTGTTTGCTTGGCTGATTTGTATTTTACAATTGAGGATCTGAGCCTAAGAGATGGTTACTTCTGGGGAGCATTCAATATGTCTTTTGCATGAGGACCCAGTTGGATCTGATGGCGTATCCATTCCCATGTCAACTCTATTTACATATAAATGGGAGGGTCTTTTCCAAGAGTAAGCAGCTTGTGGCCTTCTTGATATTTTGGCCTACAATTCCCATCAGCCCTAGCCAGCATAACCAATAGTGAGGCCTGATAGGAGTTGTAGACTAAAACATTTGGAAAACCAGAAGTCACCCACATCTGGTCTATTGTTTACATGAAAAGAAATCCATGGTGGTGAGAGAATCCTGCTCTCTGTTGCATGAAACAGTTCTCTCCTAATGCATTTTTGATCCCAGAAGAGTTAGACTGGGAGCAAACTGCTTAAAGCAACAGAACATATAGATAAGATAGGAGAAGGAAGCTAGGTTTCACTCCCTGGAAATGTTCTTTCTGTGTGAACAATAGATTTGACTCACAAGTTTATATGTGAATAAGGTTGACAGATGGATAAAATACCAAAAGTCTCCCCCTTGTATTTATGTTTTTCATGAGACAGAATTTGAATCCATTTGGTCCAGCAGTCTTTACTTTCACACCTAAATTATTTATTAGCTGTTGTGAGGGGGAAAAAACCCCATCATTGTTTCCTTTTTAAAAACGTGGAGACTTGGGACCAGACTTGACTATAAAACATTAACTATAAAACCAGAACCACCAAACTAAACCTTCTGTACCTTATATATTTCAGTAAGCTGGTAGCTGAAGTGTAGGCATCGTACTGACCCTACCACTAGAGATAAAATAACCCAGACAGGTAGTTTTATTAAGGCAATTCCTTACAAAAGGCAATAATGTGTCACTTTCCAAATAACATTAAGTTTATTTGTAACAGTATTTATGCTAAATATCCTTGTTTACTGTTCCAAATAAGAGACTTCCTGGCTAATAAACTCTCAATAGATTTTTTTTCTCTTTAGCAGGCTTTCCTGTTTTTTCTCCCTAATAGACCAATCTCTCACAACAAAAAACACTCGTATAGTCTCCTTTGCCTCCAGCTCTTCCAGTTCCCTCTGGTCAGACTTCCGCCTACATCTTTCTGCTACTGGACTCTGCTGCCCGCTTAATGCTTCACGATTGACACAGTTCTCCTTAGCCATCAGCTCCACTATTCAGATTTTTCAGTTGGGTTTCACAGAATGGTCTTTTTCCTTCCCTAGCTCTGACTATCTGCCCTTCAGACAACAAGCATTTAACTCTTTGCAGTAGACTGATTCTCATTCTCTCTCTCAAACTTCTAAGTGAACTTTTAAAAATCTCCTTGTTGTCTCACCTGACCAATCCAGATAAAGTTAACTTATCTGTCTAGACATTTTCAAGCTCAGCTTTAAGACTTTCATCATAGCAACCATAACCAACTATCCACAACTGTTTTTTACCCAATTCAGAGTAGCATGACGTGCAGCCATGTCCTGGTTAGGACAGACTATGTTGCAGCCAAAGTCTACATCAACAAACGGGGGAAAGAAGTGTATGCTAGGTAGTATTGACCTGTTAAACTTGAAATTTCTTCTTAATTCCTGTTTTGTTTTCAGAATTTGAACTGCTTCCTCATTGATAACAATGGATTCATACTTGTTTCCAAAGTCTCCAAACAGGTAAGGATTAATTATTTAATTAATGCACAGCCAGCTTTCTATGCGTAGTCTACCTTTAAAGCTGTTGGGTAGAGGAATGACCAGTTAAAGGGGAAAGGAGAAAAGTGGAGAAATCCACAGGTATAAATAAGTATGTTTCCAAGTTTTTCCTCAGTGAATGCATTCCAGAATCATATTTTACGCTTTGAAAATTGCCAAAGATTGATTAATTGAGTATAATTGCATCCTGTCTTTCCTACAAGGAAATAAGAGTTTAGTTTTAGCTTCATTGAAACCTAGGCTATTTTGAGAAGCAAGTGTCACACAAGCCTACTGCACAGCAGTTTGAACACAGATTTTCCACACTTTACTCTAGCAAAAGTTGGGGTGGTTGCATCTGTATTGAAACATTTATTTTTGCATATGAAGGTTTGGCTTCTAGCAGGAGAGGATTTTTTTGTTTTTCACTCTGACCCAGCTAGAAACTGCTGTCGACAAGTTAGTGCTACTTTTGTTTTATTACATCCATGGTTAAAGTCCAACATTCCTCCTATTGGTTAATCAGGTTCCTAATTTCTTGACCTGCCTTCTTTTTATAACATTAGGCCTCAATCATTCTTATACATCATCTGTTACCTGAGCAGCAGACATGCATCTTCCAAGGGACTCCTACAAAAAGAAGCTCTTTTCAGTGCACCGTTGTGAGAAACATGTTGTCCCTTATCCTAAGCAGCTAATTATTTTTGTCTAGTTGTGTGGATAGACTTGTTTTGACTTAGATTATTATAAAATCTAATTGACTTATAAAATTAGATTACATTTTATTGAAGATCTAACCTTTAATTTAGAACAGATCTTCTATCTGTATCTCTTTATTATGGAATTCCACATAGGGTACTAATTTTTATTAGCCTCAAAGATCCTGGTTTTTGCACCATGTGTTGTTGCTAAGTTCATTAATTTAAAGAAAAACACCTTCAGATCCAAAGGGTGGCATGCATGAGGGATCCCACATATGTTCTGTCCCCAAACCCTTAAGAGAGGGGATGTTCTAAATGAAAGCGCTGTTCTGTAAAGCAACGCCCACCTGAAGCTGTCTGGATCCAGCACATTATTTTTGTAAATCAATGTATTTTTTGTATTTTTATATTTAATGGTAATTTATTATGTACTATTGTATTTCAATGTATTTTATCATGTTGTAAGCCGCCCCGAGGTTTCGGCAAGGGGCGGCATAGCAATGCTATAATAATAATAATAATAATAATAATAATAATAATAATAATAATATAAGTAATCAATGCGGCCATTTTGTAACAAGGTACTACTCACTTTATCGTAGCAGAAGCACTCCAACCCAAGAAAATGCCCCATGTCTATGTTACTCCTGAGTGACACGTGCCGGAAAGTCAGTCCATGTCCTTGGCTATCAGATGTATGCATCAGAAGAAAAGAGCCCCACTACCACATTACATTATACACATTCTCTGTAACATGAAATAAACCCTGTAATATGAGAATTTTCTTTCTGTGCAAAAAAGGGGGGGGTAACTTATGAGATTCTAAGAAAGACATAGAGAAGAAAATGTCTAAATCTACATTATATTGATAGAAGCTATTGAAGAATTTTAGGGGTGGCTGTGCCTATTTTAAACAAAACAAGCTCTGCCACATTCTTCTCGATCATGGGTCCTCAAACTATGGCCCACGGGATGGATCCGGCCTGCCATGGCCATCCATCCAGCCCGCCCGCGCTTGCTGCGTGGGCGGGCAGGCAGTGGCTTGCTCACTCAGAGGTGGTCTCTAAACGAGCGAGCCACCGCCGCCACCTGCCTCCCGTACGCATGTGCTCACTGCTGCCTCGCAGCGCGGGCGAGGTGGTGGTGACTTGCTCGCTCGCTGGGAGATCTGAGTGCGCGAGCCACTGCCGCACGTGCCTGAAGTCGCCTCGCGCGTGCCCGACAGCACCTCACCGGGCCGCCCCCCGAGACACCCCCACCTCAGTGGCTGGACGGTCACCGCAGCCTTTCAACTGGCCCCCTATTGAAAAAGTTTGAGGACCTCTGTTCTAGAGCCAAGTGAGGGCCCAGTATGGATTGGTCTACAGTTTTTGTGTGCAGAGAAATATTCCTTCATGTATGCATTTGCTAAGATGGCAATTGAAACTATTCTGAATTATATTTTAAAACAATTTATGCCATTAAAGATAGTGTCTTTCTGTTTCTCCCCTAATACTCTTTGGTGGGTTTAAAACTCTCCAATTCTCACTGCAGGAGGAATAGGTACATTAGGAAAAGCTTATGGAAGGGAAATTTTTGAAGGATTACTCAAACTGCCCACCTTTCTAGTACCTGGATAGGTTTTGTTTAAAAAGCTAATGATAAGAGTTGGTTTATTAAAAAACCTGATTAAATAAATTAGCCTATGCAAACTAATCACCTTTATTCCTGAAAGAGAGGTAGTTCACCTTGAATTTTCTGATTAATTTAGTTATTTCCTTCTTAAATTAATTTTATTTCCCATTTATTTCATCCTTGCTATGAGATATGTATGTAGTTCATATAAAGGATCAAACTAAAAGGATCATAATAAACCAAGTCAGTTTTGAAAATATTTAATAGCAGGTGCAGGGTGGGACAATTTTGATAAGGACCACAGCATGCAGGGAGGGGAGGTTTAATGCTCCCTTCACTAGTCTTGTTCCCTGTGAAAATCCCCTCCCTGTGCAGCTATTAGGTGCTGAAAAGTTCTTAAAGGTGACAGTTTTAGCAGTTCAGTACAGCAAGGTTTGAGATTTAATTATAGGAAAAGCAGCCCTGTTTTCCTGAACCTCTGCCAATCCAGGTTTTAACACAGGCGTGGAATTATAGAAGTTCTTGGGGCCTTCAGCTCATAATTTATGAAGAAAGAGTTCAACACTCAGGATGCCATAACTAAGAACCCTTCCCATTTCATTTCATTTCATTTCATTTGGAAGTATTTTTTGCTGCTCCTGAGTGAAAAAGCCTCCTAGACTAGAGGAACTTACATATAATTATTTAAATAATGCTGCCCATAGGCTTACAATCTAAAAATACACAACAAACAAGGAAAATGAAATGGGAGGAAGGAGTGGGGGGAAATAAGTCAGCAGGACTGATGAAATGACCCTGCTTCCTCCTTCTCATCTTCTATTGTATGGCCTGCTCAGAAGGTAGGGACATTGGTAGAAGGTGTCTAATGAGGATCTCAGTGTCCGAGCAGACTAATGTGGATGTATATGTTCCTTTAAAACCTGGTTGAAAACCTAAAAGATGAGCATCAGCACTCTGAATTGCGCTTGGCAATGGGCCAGAAATCTCTGAAAATGATTAAGAATTGAAGAGAGTTATTTTCACTGAATGAGCTATGTCAATATCTTGGAGCTACATATATTATAAGGGAGCTGAAGTTTCTGAAAGGTCTTCAAAGATAACTCCACATGAAAACACTTAACACTATTTCTATATATATTATGACTGATGCATGGCTTAGGAAGTGTCCTGTTACAAAGTGGAAGTTTCAGGGGGGAGGGGGAGAGAGAGAGAATTAAAAGTGAAGGGAGATGGCAGCAGTGCTTTCCCAGTGTAAGAAACTGGAAAATACAGGGCAACTAACTAGGATGTATTCGGCTGATCCATCAGCTGCGCCCCTACCTGGAGAACGACTGCCTGGCGACAGTGACACATGCATTGGTAACTTCCTGATTAGACTTCTGTAACGCGCTCTACGTGGGGCTGCCCTTGAAGACAGTCTGGATACTTCAGTTGGTGCAAAATAGAGCTGCCAGGCTGCTGACGTTATGTTCACATGACTCCAGTTCTCCGTCAGCTTCACTGGCTTCCCATTGAAGTCCGGGCCCAATTCAAGGTGTTGGTGATGACCTATAAAGCCCTAAACAGCTTGGGTCCTGGCTACCTGAAGGAGCGCTTGCATCCATATATGCCTGGCCGCCCCTTGAGATCTGCGGGAGAGGCCCTTCTCCGGGAGCCCTCCGTGAAAGAAGTTAGGAGGGTGGGTACTCGGAGGAGGGCTTTCTCTGCGGTGGCGCCCAATCTATGGAATGCGCTCCCCAGAGAGGTCCGCCTGGCGCCGTCGTTATTTGTTTTTCGGCGCCAGGCGAAAACCTTTTTATTTAAGCGGCATTTTAATTTTTAATATTATTGGATTTTATCTGGCCAGGGCCAGATAAAGTATAAAATTAAGTATAAAATTACTTATTTTATATTGTTATTTTTGTATTTTTTATTTTAATGTTTATATATTTAATTTAATTTTATTTATTTTTAACTTATTGTTGTAAGCCGCCCCGAGGCTTCGGCGAATGGGGTGGCATAAAAATGTTTTAATAAATAAATAAATAAATAAATAAATAAATAACTAGGATGTATATTGACTATCTGTAGAGATTTCAAAGGACTAAGTAATTTTAAAATTAAGGAGGATTTCAGCTGATCATCAAATTGGAATGTAATGGTTCCTTGCAGCAGCATCCATGTTTACATGGTACATTTTGAGTATTCAAGTTACTGTTCATGCATTATCTCTATAATCCTTAGAACACCCTTCCGAAGTAGGGCAGTGGTATTATCCCAATATTGCAGATGGTAGACTAAGAGAGATTTACTTTTCTAAGGTTACCCTACATCACACTTCTCTGTCACACTTTTTCAAAATATCCTGGGAACATAGGAGAACATCACTTGTTCAAAGAGTTTGTTTCATAATAGTGGTAATCATTTAATACTTCAAACTTGTAGGAGGGATGTTTTAGCCACAGCGATAAAAAGCTGAGGAGGCTTATCACTAACAGCTTTTGCTTTTTTTCCTGTTTATGTCTCCCTGTGCCTGCAGACTGGAAAATTTTTTGGGGAAGTGGATGGCTCTGTTATGGCCCAGCTCATAAATATGGGAATGTTCAGAGAGTAAGTGTCACCCTCTTTTTTCTATTGATCTTCTTTCAGAGAAGAGGCTAGTAGAAGCAAATGCCTTATCTCCTGTGAGGATTATTATGGCTAAGCATGAAGGGAAAGAATGAAGGCAGGAGGGAAGGTGGGGAATATTGCCTCAGCTGTTAGGGCTGGCTTGTGTAACCAATTTGTGGTTTGCAGGAAGAGTCCCCTGTGTCCCAAGGGTACATGCTTCCATAGACAAATGATGTGTCTTAACAGTATGTTCTTGATTAGGGGTTAGCAATGATTCTGTGATTGGAGCAAATGGAAAAGGTTTTGCTGCAAGTGCAGGGACAGCCAGTTTATGCACCTTGTGAGCAAATGCCCGATATTACATATTAAATTTCCCTGCTCATGTTCTGAAAATGGCAGGAAGAAAAGTAACTACAGGGACATATCTTTGAAATGCAGAGACCATCAGAAGTGACCCCCCTGCCGCCAGATTAAAGCAGTAGCATGGAAGTCATTTCCTTGTTACTTAGCTCCAGGAGCTCATTTGCCCCACATCTGAAACAGTAGACACTACTGAGCTAAATGGGTTTAGCTCATTTATTAGCTATACCAGGCTATGTCCTGGTATAAAGCAGCTTCCTGTGTTCCAGAGTCACACTGAGGCTGCTGTCGTAGCGCACAAAGAGGCCCAGAATCAGATACATGTAGTGCCAACGACCCAGGAACTTGTCCAGATGTCTCTGGTACAACTAGTGTATAAACTTGGCCAGAGAACATACATGTAATAGATGAGTTTTCTAGTTGTCTGGGACAAGTTGCTCAAAGCTGAAAGAATTAGTATATTGGACCTTAGAATGAGTAAAAATAGCAGCAGAGGGTTGCTCAGGAAAATCACATGTAGAGCTGTGTTATTGTGGGGGGCATACTGTGAAAGTAGTTAAACATTTCTTCAAATAAAGCATAGTCAGTTAAACAGTGTGGGATAAGATCTCACTTTGAAACATCCAAGTTTAAGTACAAACTGAACTAAGTGATTCAGATAAGGATATCTGGAAGTTCTGTGTGTGAAGACACATCAAAGCTAGAATTCAAGCAGGAGATGTCTGTACCTGTATTGAAGAATGGGCTAAAACTGACCTTGCATGCAGAACATCTGAGGCTCACTCCTTGGCATTCCTACTTAAAAAGAAAAAAGAAAGAAAAACCTCATGTTGAAAAACCACTGAAACCTTGAAACATTACAACCAATTAGAGCAGATGGTAAGTGCAGTAGGTGGACTTCAGCAGAAGGCAGTTCTGTGTATTCTGCATGCACACCCATTTGCCCCTTCTCTGTTTCTGCAGGGTGAAAATGTTTGATTATCAAGCCATGTGTAAGACGCCCCACCACCACCACAGTGGTGCTCGTCCTCTTCTCAGTGTAAGTCTCTAGATCAATGCCAGCAGTGCCTGCTTCACAGTTCAAAATTGCATGAATCTGGAACATTGTGTACATGATACACAAACACTGGATATTTATTTATTTAATGTTTGTACCACCTGTTAGTCAAGATGATAATCAAAATACACAAAAAAGCAATACAATAAAATCAAAGATAAATAATGCATCAGTATAAAAACAACACTATAATAACAGTAGCCCTGCAATAAACCCACAGCAGTAATGCTCAGAACAGTCCAGGGCACAGCAGCAGTAAAATATAGTGATATGCAAAATAGACACAATTTTTTAAAAAATCAATGAAAATTAAATTTATTAACTGTTAAAATACTGGATGAATAAGATGTTTTTTACCTGACGTCAGAAGGAATGAAGAGTGGGTGCCAGGTGAACCTTCTTGAGAAGCTGATTCCATAATTGGGGTGCCACTGCTGCAAAGACACTTCCCCTTGTAGCCACCTTTTTCTTTCCTTTAAAGGTGGCTCTCTGAGAAGGACCTCAAACAATGACCTCAGGGTAGGCATATAAGGGAAGAGGCCTTCCTTTAAATAACCTGGCCCCAAACCATCTAGGGCTTTACATATTAGTGTAAGCACTTTGAATTGGGCCCGGACTTCAATTGGTAACCAGTGAAGCTGGGAGAGTACTGGCATAATATGTTCATATTAGCCAGTCCCCTTCAGCAGCCTCACTGCCCTGTTTTGAACCAATTGAAGTTTCTGGACCATCTTCAAAGGAAATGGGCAGGAAAGATTAGCTGAGCAGAAGAGCCACAAAGTAGGCATCCTAGAAATTTGTCTTGTGGAGTGGGTGTTTCAGCCCTATATTAGAATTTGGGTTAAGTCCTAGGGTAGAGTTCAAATTTGCTTGCTGATTTCTGATCAGCTTCTTCCAGACACTACTTAATGGTAGCCAGGAAGGATAGCTTCCTGCAGAATGCCTCCTAATTTGTTGATCGCTTAAGGAAACAAGGCTGGAATCATGAGTTCTGTAAGATGACACTCTTCTTCTTCTGAATTTTTATCTTTCTTTTCAATAGCCAGTGTATGTCTTACTAGCAGCAGTAAAGTGGCTGATAACTGACTTCCTCATGTGAGTATAAACTTTTTGCAGTTCTGGAGAGAAATCAACATCAGTAAGAATGATGACTAGTATATTGAATCAGTCCATTAGCCAATTAATGCTTGAATTGATTAGTGTTAAGGGCAAATGTTAATTGGTGGAGTTTCAAGTAAGGACACATTTTAAAATTTATTGTTATTCTGGGGTTTTACTGTAATGGGAAATGAACAAGAAAATATTAACAAATATTTGAAGCACATGAGTCCTAACAGTAATACAAGTTAAGAAGGATGCAGTCACTTTGTACATAGTCCAGTAATTCCAAAATGCAGAAAGGATAGATGCAAGTGAATTTCCAAACCCATGAAAATAAGGATATAACTATTGCTATAAAGGGACCCTGGGATCTGTAATTCTTAGAAAAGTTATGAATTTGTAACAGAATTCCCAGTACATTCATTAAACTAATTAACTTGGAATCTTTGGGGGAAAACATGCCTGCTAAATAAAACACTTGTTTTAGTAAGTGAATACCTGCATATGAGCCTCTTTCTCTCCTAGTTCACTGCTTTAGCACAAATGCCAAAAGCACTGGAAAGAGGCAGTCTTCTCCCCATTGCTGAAAATGCTAATATCTTATTTCTGAGGTGCCCTGTGCAGGGACCAGTGCATACACGCCATGCGACATGAAGGCACCTCATACGTGGAATTAGAACTCCAGAGGGAAAAACCCCCAGTGTAGACATAGTGTAAAATAAAATAGAGGCATTTCTGTGTTGCCTTCATTCCTGCCATATCCAAGAAGCTTCCAAGAGCCTTACCTGGTAGGAGCTTTATTTCCCTCTTCTGAGAGGAAAGCATGGTGCTTGAGAGTTTATTTGTGCCAAATCATAACAATGCAGCATCTGAAACAGGACCAAAAATACAGTCCAAGCTTCCTGATTTCAAGTAAACTGCCAGGCCTTAATAAGCAAATCTACATATTAAGGGAGGGTGTTCACATTTATAACAACTCTGTTCAGGCGTCTTTGTTTGCACCTTGCTAATGACACTGTTTGGGATAAAACCAGCAGTGAGTGTGCCCACCTTGCCCTCTCCATGAGTTTGAGAATGACCATGTGCAGCAGGACACAGACGTAGCCCACATGAGTAGTGTGGTTTCCTTGCTGTGGACAGTCCCTTTCCAGTCTGTGAAGTGCTCATCCTCACTTCCTCACCACACAAGTAATACCACATGGAGAAACCTGAATAGGACTAAAATCTGGGGAACCAGCCCTAAAATGGCACATAGAAATGCAGCTTAGCACACCCCAAAAGCATAATCACCCTGCTGGCACTGGTGACACAGTCTCCAGATTCCATATCATCTCTGTACAGACATACTGGAATTTACTGGCAAGATTAAATGTCACTGGCTGCTGTAGCTGCGGCGTCTGTGGAAAGGTATAATATAAGGTCTGTGAAAGACCACTGACAACCATCTGTACCTGAAATCAGGAACTTTGATACATGCAGACAATAAGGTAAAGACAAGTACAAATTTGCCTAGAAAAAAGTGTGTGTGTGTGTGTGTGTGAGAGAGAGAGAGAGAGAGATACCAGATTTACTAAAAATTTGAAGGCTAATCTAGTGACCTTGCATTTTGCATAGGAAAAATGTGTTGTGGGTTAACCTCTGGATGTCATATGATACATATTTGTTAAGCATCACTGTGGGTATTTTTATGTTGCAGTACACTAATAAAATCAAGAAACATCCCTGGATTACCAGGTTTACCCTTCCTCCCTCAGATTGGTCTAAAATTTAGAATGTTGAGTAATTTGAGTGTTGAAAATAAAATATGGAGGTGAGACAATCCTGCTCCTATCAGAAAATATAGTAATGCTGTGGACCTTACCTGCATTTCTGTCAGACTGAGGTATATACCAAGGGAAAGAACAGAGCCTCAACAATTTTTTTTTTTAAAAGATTCATGAGTACATCTGGTACAGCAGAGATCAGTTACTATATAAGGGTAAATTGGAGTGCTGGATCCAAACACCTCTGACCTTGGAAGAAGAGCCAAGACTTTTGTAGAGATTAACATGCAGACACATACCGCAGCTGTTGCTACACACCAAACACCAGTGATCGACTCCTGCTGAGCAGATGGCTTTCGAGGTGACTGAGTGTGCTTCTCTCCCAGCCCAAAGAGCACAATGTTAATAAGACTCTTAAGAGCTGGAAGAGGCCAGAGGGCCATCAGGTCCAGGACTCCATGATAGACATCCCTCTGAGATGGCTGTGCAGTTTTGCCAAAGAAATTAATTGATTTTAAAGTTAAGACATACTTGCCCATTGCAAAAAAACAACAACGGAGTAGTTGAAAACTGATTTAAACTAGATCAGTTCCATTGTTGGAAGAGGACCTTTCCACACACCCTTCCTATGGCAGCGTAGGTAGTGTAAGGGGGTGGCCCAGTAGGGAAGTTCCAAACATTTGCAGCCCTGACTCTCTGCCCCACTACCCCACTTTCCATGGCCACTTGTTGAAATAAAGGTATGGGGGCCCTGATGATCTCTGTTAAATCTGGTCTACTTGGAGTAGCTGCGTGCATGTGCTTCGCCTCCTGCTGCCTACCTTCCCCACCAAATCTTTCTGCTTGAAATCAATTGCCTTTCTTTCTCCTGTCCTTAAATACTTTTTTTTTTAACAAATCGGGGTATCCTTAGAAGGCAGAGCTCTGGAAAGACACACACACAAGAACAGACACAGACTTTAGAGCATGTATAAATTAGCATATCCTTTTTTACTTGTGTTTACCTGTGTCTCAGCCCATTTTGGTACCTAGCACGACCATGGCACGGTAGTTCATCCAGTCCCCTGAAAATGTTGCACAATCCTAAATGCCACAAGGAACAACATGTAGAGAGGAGGAGAATCCTCAGCATTCATGTGAATCTGCTGTGAGTAAAAACCATTCCTCTAACAGATCCCAGGTCCAAGCACAGGATTTAAATAATTGTATCACGCATGAGCAGGGGCTACAAGGTAAGTGCTAAGGCAGCTCCTATAGTCTATTAACTCAGAATGCAGCAAGTCACAAAGGCCGGCCTGCCTGCCTGCCTGTGTAACACCTCTGTCCTTCTGGGCTAGTATAAATGTATATTTTTCTTCTTTTGACAGATTTCTTTTGGAATTTAACATATCTAGTTTCTGGCACACAGACAACTTGGCAGATGGTGAGTATGCAGGATTGCAGTCAGCACACAGCCACCAGGCTTGGATGAAGGAATTGTACATAGTAATGAATTTTAGCAGAGTCTAAAAGCATAATCACCCTGCTGGCACTGAAAACATCATCTCCAGGTCCCATGCCACCTGTGCACAGACCCTCCAGAATTCACTGGCGAGGTTTAATGTTGCTGGCCACCTTAGCAGCTCATAGTCTGTGCTAATGTGCCGTGCCAGGTGGGCGAAAGGCCACCAACAACCATCAGCTGAAGCAGCTCATCAGTGCCATTTGCCTGTGATTTCTGGGCATTTTGGCTGGATGAACATGCAGGGGAGTGGTAAGACACTTAAAGTTGATTTTATTTAAATAAAATAAATAAAATTATTTATTTATTTCCCCTAAAATGGGGTATTTTTGCTACGATGTATGTGCTAGAGACCATATGTAATCCGAGCAGGATTCATTTGTTTTTTCAGCTCTTAAAACTATGGAGTTCCAGAATTTTATTTATTTATTTATTTAGAATATTTATATGCCGTCCTATCGCGAAAGCCTCAGAACGGCATACATAAATGAAATAACATAAAACATAACACGAATAAATTACAGACCCACACTGGCTGCAGTTAAAAACATATAAGAAACAATATTAAAACTTATTAAAATATTGCTGAAATAAAAAGGTCTTAACCTGGCACCGAAAAACAATGATGGCGCCAGGTGGACCTCCCTGGGGAGCACATTCCATAGGCAGGGCGCCACTGCAGAGAAAGCCCTCCTCTGGGTACTTTGCCTCCTAATATCTTTCACAGAGGGTTCTCGGAGGAGGGCCTCTGCTGCCGATCTCAGGGTGCGGGAGGGCAAATATGGAAGAAGGTGTCCAGGTCCCAAGCTGTTAATGAATGAATGAATGAATGAATGAATTCATTAATGAATGAATTTTAATGAATGCAATGCAAATCCTCATGATTCTAGCCATAATTTTCAAAACAATAGTAATATAAGCTAAACTAGAAAAACAGAAGCTGGCTTCCAAAAGGTCCATAACAATTTCACTGCATAAATACCATTAATGGCAAATACTTTTTAAAAAGAAGAAAGAAATATTGGCAATAGCCATTGCAAAAGAGCAATTTTATACAAGTGTGACATATCATACTACCCCTAGAGCTTGGCACACCTCATATTCGTCATTAATCATATACATTATTTTATACATGTGTCTTAAACAGGCAGAATAATTGTTTCCCTTTAGTTCAGGGTGTATTTTGAAAGAATTGCCCTCTCCTGAACTGCAGAAGTGTGCACCTGGAAGGCTGCAGCTCAGATACCCTGGCCTTCTTGAAGTGTATCACATACACTTCACACATGTTTACAGGAGTCCTTCTCTAAGGCACTGAAGAAAATAATCAGAACAGCACTGAAGAAAATAGGCAGCAAAAGAGATCTCTTGTGAAACCATAATTTGGTTACTGGAAGGTAGTCGAATTTTTAACTTTTAACAGATGAATTTTATTTTACTGGTCACTGCTCTCATCAAGAGAGAACAATCCAGATACTTGTACCATTTTATCATCATGTCATCCTTTCTGTTTCTTCCTGTACTGTCGCTCCCATTCATGTGTCTTCACAATGACATTGTACCTCCATCATGCGAATGTGTCATCATGGATCCATCCATCTTCACTGCATCTTATGCCGTGCAACCCACACAGCCAAGTCTGTTTTCCATCACGGTAAGTAGAATTGTCATCATAGAGCACTGCCCACCCCCCCCGCAAAAAAAAGCTTGCTTTTTTGAAAACAAAAGAACATCCACAACAAATTTATGTAGAATATTTGGCATGAAGTTTCCGATTAAACAGTTCAGCTGTTTAATTTTTTTAGTTGTGAAATGCATGGCCTACTTTTTCTTATAAAATATAAAAATACAAAAGAGATATAAAACCAATAAAACACAGTAGAATTATACATACATTGATCAGTAAAGCAGTCAATAGGGAGAATCATAACATGGATAAATAATAGTTTATAATGCCTGCAGAGCTGGGAAAAGAACTGGCTGTAGTGCAAATAGAGATGCAACTATTTTTTAATTATCGTGCTACCACCTACTCACTGCATACTTTATGACAAAGTATACTTGCAAGATCAACTCTGATCTCGAGCGTAAAGCCCAAATATTCTGGTTCTGGTCACCAGAGCAACTTCAATAGCTTCACTCAATTTTCTCATTATGTATTTATGCTAAAACTCAAGGATTATATTAGTTTATCATTATGTTTAGTAAGCTAAGTGATATGTGGTAAAAAAAGACTAGACATAAAAGAGTTGCTTGGTGTGTTAAACGGGGTTGCTTGGTACCTAGCATGACCTTGACCAAAAAGGTTGAATGGGATTGCTTGAGTCCAAGACATGTGTCCAAAGTCATCAGGTCTACCACCCTGTCTCTGGGCAAGAAAAACAGCCTAAGCAATTCCTAGCAAAGTATAATGATTTTCTTTACACTGTGTTCCAAAATAATAGAAATTACAAAAGCTTGTTGGGTTATAATTATTTTTAAGATCACAATATTATTTTAGAGCTGTGAGCTCATGGCCTAGCAGTCATTTTTTAGAGATGCCGACCAACCACAGGGCAGTCAGAGAGGCATGAACCCAGGATCTCTAAATCATAAAGGATACAGAGGTGCACATCTGACATCGAATGGCCACCTGCTTGTTTGCCCTGGAAAAATGTCCTGGGGCTACCCTGCTGACGATGAATGGAACCTCCTGTGAGTTAAAAAAAATTGACACCTAATATAATTGTTCGAGATCAGTGTAACTTCTGTGATTTCCACCTCTTTAGCATAATATGCTTTTATTAAAAGCATAGTGATTGTATTTGTTAAATTACAGTTGTTGCTATACCACTATTAAATTCACAGTTGATCATGATATGAGGCTCGGGGATGTGAATGGAAAATCCCTGCCTGAAACAAAGTGATATTACTGCTTTCTGCCCATCATCAGCTGACCTTGATGCCCTTTTCTCCAGCTCTGTTGTCGCTGCAGCTTAGAAGGAGCTCTTCAGCCTGTTTGGGAGGAGTTTACCTCCGTTGCATTTAAAAGTACAGTTAGCAAAAGAAAGTTGTTCTAGGTGTCAGGACTACATGTTCTTGATAACTGAAGCACAGGGTTTTAATAAACGGCCAACATCTTGTGCACCTTCCCTTTCTCTTACATTCACAGAGCACTAAGGCAGTTGTGAGGAGCCAAATGTTTGCTATGAAAATTCAGGTGCGGATTAGGTTGTGGCCGTGTAACTGACTGTAACTGGCAGGGTGTTTTTGTCCTGGATAGACCCCACATAGAATAAGTGAGATATTTTCTAGGATTGTTGTTTTTTGCACCAAATATTGCACCGAGCCCATCTTATCTTAATGGCTTGCCCTAAAAGGACTATGTTATGGTTGAGACCCCATGCTGTCCATCTTGATTAGATTACATTGTGCCCAACACACACAATGCCAGCTATTTAATTATCATAATTATGCTTACCTGTTAAACTGGGATGTCCAAGTTGAAATCTTGGCTAGCCATGAACTCAGTAGGTAGTCAGGCAAGCAAACCAACTTAGGGCAAGGAAATTATTAAAAAGATCAGGGTGGCATTTGCAGGCCTGAACAAATCCTTTCCTTTTAGCATAGAAGACATAAATGAAATCTGGAAAAAAAGGTGCTGTTTACAATGCTCATTGCACCATCTGGCAGAAATGTATTTCTGTTTTAATCTCAGACTACAGAGGTTGTGCTAAAATGGGCTGCTCCTTCCTTCATATTTGAAAGATTAGAGCAGGGAATCTGCTACATGGTTACGTTATAGGGAGACATGGTGAACAGTGTTACAGACAAACGAAGAAAAGTACTCGGACTTCCAAGGAATGGCATTGTGCGTGACTGGTGCACTGTCATTTGCAAACCACATTGGAGGTGCCTATGTCATTATACCAAAACAATTATGAGGGAAGAGGAACAAGACCACCCCAGTACCATCATCAGTAGCACTTGACAGACCTGCTGCATAACCACTTTCATAGTAGGTACACTCCTAGTTTTATTTATGACCAATGTGGTTAGTGTTAGACATACACTGTGGAAGAACTGGGTCCAAAATTAGAAGGTCTTCTGTGTCAGTCACTTTTTCTCAGCCTAACGTACCGATAGGGTTGTTTTGAAGATAGTGGGGGAGACCATATGTGCTACCTCAGCTACCTTGGAGAAAGGCATGGTGTAGTGGTGGTGGTGAAATAAAAATCAGGAATACTTCAGAAAAGTTTCTGGTATTTTTCACTGCTGCAACTAACACTGAGTGACTCAGTAAAATAAATGTCATGTGGCATTTGCAATGACTTTGACCCTCTGGGTTGACATTACATAAAAGAGTAAATGCCAGAACTGCCTTTCTCCAGGAGGTTAGTGTGCAGCAAACATAGGGCAGTCCTTAGAGGATGTTTGCAGGATAGCAGTCCCACAGTTATACTCAAAGGCAAGCTTCTACTATAATAGATGACTGATATCAACCCAGCAATTCTCTATTTGACAGGTGATTTTCCCTCAGCAAACAAATCAGCACATTATCTGGGCCACCTCTAAGTCTGAAGTACTTACATTGTCCTTCAGACTGTAACAGTGACATCTGTATGCTGACATGTGGCATTTAAAGACATTATATTAAATAAAAAAAAATTATCTGTGTTTAATTAAAGGTTTAGATGTCTCTTTCCCCAAAATAAGAATTGCTCACCTTCTGCAAATGAAAGTGTAGGAGGTTGTGATTCCAGATTGGCCAGCTTTAAAAACACATTCTAAGTTATTTTGAGTATTAGTAATACAAAAAGTTAGCTTTCTCTTCAACATTTAATGAATGGGAGAAAAATATTGTTGCATTTATCTATTTTTATAGCTTTTGTTAGTGAAGTTACTTTAATAAGAGTTTAGGCAACTGCTTGTAGTTGTAACTTTTGAAGTAATATTAAGGCCTCCCTCATGTTGGCCCTATAACTTGGGAACAGGCACTGAAAAGGCCCTCCTCTCTCCTGGAACCAAGAGAAAGGCATCTCTTGAGCATCTTAAAACCCGGGCAGACTCATAATGGTAGAATGTGGTCTTTCAGACAGCCCAGTCCCAAGCAATATAGGGTTTTATAAGTTCCCAGCAGCACTCTGAATTGTGTCCAGCAATGAATTGGAAGGTAGCGGAGCTATAGCTGCTCCCTCTAGCTGGCCACAGAAATCATCATTTTTTCAAGCTCTCTTCAAAGACATCTCATATAAAGCACATTATGGGCATCTGCCAGTGTGGTGAGATGTGATACATCCCGAAATGGGCAGCTAAACACACTAGTCTGAGCTGTGCCGATATGCTTCTGGCCACCACTAAAACCTGGGGATCTAGGTTCAGGGCTAAATAGCCAAGTTTTCAAAGGGAATGTTAACCCCATCCAGCGCAGATTCTATCACTCTTCCCAGATTTGCGTTTTGACTGACCGAGAGTACCTCTAAATAAGTAATACTGAACTGTCACTTATCTTTTGTTCTTGATGTTAGCCCCATATAACTGATTTTCTAATACCAAACAGCCTGTCACAAATGCATTCCACTTCCAGGAAATCTTCATACGTTGGGTCTCCCACACCACCTAGTGGCTCTCTGTATCCATACACTTTCTTTTAGGACTAAGATCTTTCTGGTGCTCTTTTCTCTTTCTAACCATCCTAGTTTCTCCTGCCTGCTTTTCTCATTCTGCCTCTCCATTTCAGCTCACAAGCATAAGAAGCATGACACGCTGCAACCCTGTGACACAGAATATCCGATATTTGTGTACGAACCTGCCATCAAAGAGACCAACGGGATCATTGAATGCAAAGACTGTCAGAAGTACGATACTTTTCCCTATCCAAAATAAGTAATATTTGCAGAGTGACCTTTTTCAGAGAGGGTTGCTATCTGAATTATTTCCCATGGGTGTTGCTACAAATGTAGTGGCTAAGACAGGAGGTCCTGGCTTCATTTCTCAGCTTAGCTAGGAGCTCACTGAGAGACCTTCAGCAAAGTACTTTCTCCTTCTCAGCCCCCCATGGGATTACATAGTATATTAAAACATAGGATATCTTGATTTCAACAAAACATTTGTCAAAGCCTTGATTGACAAGTTGGAGAAATACAAGCTGAACTACTGGTCAGTGGATTGATAGCTAGTTTGAACAGCCATATTGAGCAAGTGATTATTAATGACTCTGCATTAACATGGGAGGTCTTAGATGGAGGGCTTCTAGGCTTGCCCCTAGACTCTGAGTTGTTCTGTGTTTTTAAAATTACTCAGATGGAGGGAGTCGAGTGGATGCTTAACCAGAGTGGAATGCAGTGTCCAAACTAACTAAATGAAATTCAAGAGAGAGCAGTATAAACGCTGGAATTCAGTTACACAAAAAACAAATGAACAAGTACAGGATGACAAAGACTTGGCTTGGCTATGGGTGAAAAGGATACAGGTGTTTTAAGATGTAATGTTATGCATCTTTCAATAGAGAAGAAGTCTGTAGGACTTACAGCATTCCCCAGCCAGCATGGCTAGTTTGCGGAATGCTGGGATCGGGTAGGACTTCTTTCTCTCTATGCATAGGATTGCATCCTTTGTTGAACATGGGGCAGCTGCCTCTTGTGAGTCATAAAAAGGTAGTGTATCCTTAGCTACATAAAAAGAAACATTGTCCAAATCATATGAAGTACAAGTTCCATTCTCCTTTATGTTTGTCTGAGTTGGTCTGAATTCTACATAATAAGCAGGACATTGGCAAACTAGAAGCCAAACTCCAGAATAAACTGTTGAAAGAGCTGGATGTATTAAGGCTGTAATATTATTATGCAGAAGATAGAGCAGGCTTGTTTTCATTTGTTACAGAGCTCAGAACTAGAACAAATGGATGGAAATAGGAGGAAAATAGATTTGCAAACTGTCTGACAATGGCTAACAGGCTGCCTTGGGAGCTCTCTTTCATTAGAAGTGTTTAAGCAGAGGTTGGATGGCCACCTATCAGATGCTTGGATAGTAGACTATGCAACATGTAGGTGATTGTAGTAGATGACTACAAAAGGACCCTTTGTACTCTGTGCTTTGTGGTGACAGTCATGTAGAGAAGGTACTGTTTAAACCATGCTCATCCCAAGACTATAACATTCCTTTGTAAATGCATTAGCTATTGCAGGCTGCTCTTAGAAAATTCATTTGGCTTAGGCAAAGTTCCCAGGCATATAACACTAGCTGGTTAATATTTGGATATTTAAGTAGCAGATATGACTGACTTGAAATATCCACAAAAGAACAGGCATCGATGCAAAAGCTAAGCCCTGGGGGCTAAATGTTAAACTGGAATATCAGTACTATCCATACTCACAAGCTGCCAGCAGAGGGCAGCAGAGTTCTCCATCTGTCTCAAGCAGCAGGCAATTTTAGAAATGGTACACAGAACTAGAGTACATAGTACTTATGGGAATTAAAGTACACAGGACTTTCTGTTCATGCTTTGAACTCCTATGCAATCATATACAGGGTTCATCCCTCATGCATATGGCTTGGCATGGAGAGGGCAGGTTTGCACAATATGAGAAGCCATGGTGAAATCTTACTGTTGTGGGTCTTTTGTGTCATGGAGACCTAGTTCCAGAGTTACTGTGTGGTAGGAATAGTTTTTTGAAACCACTGAATGAATCAACAGTCTGGTCTAAGGTTTCTGCACATTATCTCTTTTTTCTGGTTGTCTAGACCCAGGATTGCCATTTTACCATTGTTGGTATAGAAGAGTCCACTGGCAAGAGCAGCTACAGAAGTGGCTGTTTCTAGCCCTCAATCTCAGATCCCTAGCAGCAGACACATCATTTCTAGATTTATTACAATTGATGGTACAATGTGTCCATCTCCGTTTACTTTTGGAACCAGGCAGAGTGTGAGAAAACACATGGAGAGAGCAGGGGGGCATCATAGCAAACTTGCTCATTGGCATTTAATAAAAATTTCTGTGGGGGGTGGAGTGGCAGAGAAGTGCCACAAACATGCAGGTCCACAGGGGGTGGGGGGACCTGCCTCAGGAGTGCAGCTGACCCATAAGGAGGAAGATCGGGTTTTTTGCTCATAGTGACTGTGGGGATGCATTGCAAGGGCAGGAGGATAACATGGGGAGCATTGTCTGAGCAGGAAGCTTGGGCAAAAAACGACATGCTGTGGACAGTGCAGTGTTGTTTGCCATGTTTGCCATGAAAATCCTTCATGTTTCTTTACTTTACACTATTGGGGACACACACCTGGGATCTCCAAAGCTGACTCAACTATAGTATAATTAAAGCAATAAGCTTTGAGGAAGTGTGCGCCTGGCACATAGATGAAGCCTCCTGCAGACACCTGTGTGCACTTCTTTTTGTGTATTAGCACATGCATACATCATCATGCCTACAATAGTCTCCTGGTGAGAAACACATGAAGAGCACAAGTGTGTGGCCTCGTGACATTGTCTGGGAGGTCAATGGTTTATTTGGGGTCCCAGCTCTAAGGTCTGACGTCTTGGAGCTGGCGTTTGGAAGGTCTCACCCAGCCCCACTTGCAGCTGCTCTAGAAAGAACCTTGCAGGCTGCCCCCTCCCCACTAGTCACAGTTAGGTCTTGGAGAGGGCTAAAGGTGTGTATGGGGAGGGGGAAAGGGCAGGAGGTTGGCGTGAGAGGCTTATATGGATTCCTCTTCTCCTCCCCCTTCTGGTGCTTGACCTAGACAGCTGTCTAGCTAAAATATGTGGCATGTGTGCTGCTCTGCCTCATTCCATGGAGAGGACACACATCTACGAGTATAGAATAAATGGTACAAGATGTAGATGCTTATGCGCAGCAAGGGCACAAGGCATTGGATTGCACCCGAAACCCACCATCTATGAAATGTCAGTAGACATACTTGTTTACATGCATATATAGGGGCATCATTTATGAAACAGCATTCTCAGAGTCATATAAACACATTTATAAGCACAAACGCTATTCTATATTAATAGGTTAGTTTAGCATACATCAAGATTTCTCTTTCCCCCTTTTCAACCAGAGTTCAGATTTCACAAATGTACTATTCACACTAGAAAAACTATTTGTGTTATTGAAGATTGGCAGTCCTTAAGTTCTGAGTTATCTAAAAAGCCACTGATGTCTTTGTTAACTAAAAATCTTTTCTTCTTTAACACAAATCCTTTTTTTTTGACTCTTCCTTGAGCCCAGGTAATACTTGGGTGAGGGGGGAAAACTGTGTTTTAACTACCATTTTGTTCTAAAGATTAATTAATCTTTTTACTGGGGGTGGGGTTACTTCATCCTTACAGAATGTTTGTGGTACAGCAAATTACCAACAGCAACCTCCTGCTCCTGGTTACTGATGCTGTCTGTGACTGCACCACCTTTCCACCTGTTCTGCTGCAACCTAAAGAAGTCAAATATATCTTTCTGCTTGCAAAAACTGTAAATTCTACATTTCCTTTGATTACATGTTTCAACAGTTAATTATTGTACACCCAGAAAGTTTGCTTTGGTAGCATTTAGGTGATGGAGGAATGCTTCTTACCTGCTAATGAAAACTTTGTTCTTTTATTCTGTCAGAACCTGTAGCAGTTGGGTTTGACATACCTGAGTGTGCAACCTAGCCAAGTATAAGCATGTAAACATCACCATCGTCTCAAAAGTAAATGAAATGCTTTAAAGGCTTTGCTAAAATTACCAAAAATAGTGTGATGGTTACATGAGAATATGTTGACATCTGATTTTGGCTATCTGAATGTTTGCTGCTCCTCTCTAAAAAGGCAGGCTGAGTCACCACATAGATTTGGCAGAAGTTGATGGTGGGTATCCTTCCCCTCTCTGGCCCAGAATACCCCCCCCCCCCCCCCCGCACTGGTCTTCAGGCTTCGAGGCTTCAGCTGGTGTGGAAAGAATGCTTGTTCTCCAAAGGCAAAATCCTCACCTTGGATGTCTTTTCCAGCATCCTAGTGGGAAACTTAATCTTTTCCTGTGACTGACCAGATAGCATCAAATTGGCCATAGGAAATTGCTTACAATTCTGTTTACAATGTTAGGTGTTTCATTTTTATTGATTGATAGATTGATTTTCTGTGCCACCCCAAAGCTGAAGCACTCTGGGTGGTTTTCAACAACAGTGCATTAAAAATACAATATAAAATACCCCATATTAAAACATATTAAAAGATCGTAAAAAGTCTACAAAATTTAAAACCACATTTAAAACAGATAAAAAATTTGAAGAACTTGAAGAACATCTTAAGACCTGTTTAACAACTAGCAGGCTCCACTAGACTAACTGAACACCCTGCAGTAGAGGACAGTCTTTAGCTGGTGCCTAAAAGATAGTGAAGCTGGCACCATGCAGGCCTCAGTGGAGCGCTCATTCCATAACTCATTTTTCTTGTTGCCAGCATCCAGGGCCCCCATAATATGATCATAGTGTCTGGGTAGCGAAAGGTCGGGAGAGACATTCCATCAGGTAGTGCAGTATTCTTAGCTGAAAACTGGAACGCTTGTACCACACAGCTCAAGTCTGCTCTCACAGGCAGATGTAATGTGGCGAAGCTCTGCTTCCATTTTATCTTTTCCAAAACCTGCAATTAATCTTAACAACACCACACATAATGCTTCAGTGAAATGCGACAGAATGCGCTCCCAGAAACTGAGACGGCGACCAGACACATGCCATGCATTCCATCCTGAGGTAAGAAAGGATCTTTTGCATTTGACAAACTGGAGTTTGCCTCAGAGTAGTCACAATAACGTGCTTGCTCAAGGATACATTTTAATGGATGAAACATGGGGTAAATGCTGTTTTCCGAACAATACTTGGCTGCTTCACTTGTTCATCACCAAAGTAGAACTCCTGATGGTGGGTTCTAGACCCACAGCTGTCTATTTTAGATGCACATATGCATCTAGTGTTACTTTTAGCATAGTAGAAGTTTTTTACATTGGGAATCTATGAAATGGTAATTGTTGCTATGAGGTAGATTTAGAAAATCTCAATTACCTGATCCAGTGTAAAAGAAAAGTATGTCATATTTTTGTTGTCTTTTGAATTTATTTAATTATTTAACTAAAGCCGTGATTACTTACAGAATGTAACAATGCTCTAAAAATTACATTGTAAAAGTACTTTAAGAAACTGAACTTCTTTTTAAAAGTCTGGCTTCAAGTTCCTGGCAGGTGACCTCAAACTTTTCTTGTTTATCTGGAATAACTGACTGAGCAGCCAAACCTTGGTTAGAATTGGCAAATTTAGGATATCAGCTCAGACCCAGTGCAAAGTGTGCTTGTATTTTGCTACTGCACCTTGGGGGCCTCCAGACAGGGGCTTCGGTGAACAGTCAAAAGGCATTATGAAAGAAAAAAAGACAGCAGTGGGAAAACACAGGGGGAATCATGAATTGAAGATGGTGTCACCTCATCCACATCCCAGCTCAAATTCTATCAATGAAGCAGTGCAATTGTACACTAATAACAGCCTCTTCTAGAAGCACTCTTACTTTGGCTAATTAACTTATAAATTGCCCTCACAGGGCAATTTCTGCTAGCCTTAAGACTGTTGGGTGCTTCTGACACAGCTGTCTTCTATATGTAGTATTAGTCATATATGCCTCTAATGGTTGGTTTGCTGACCACATTCATCTCTGCTTGTTTTGCAGGAAAATGCTCAGGACTGTGGAGGAGCTGCAGAGATTTCAAGTTCATTGACCTTACTCCTCCTTTCCCTGGGAGCCACAGCTCTCCTGCTTCGATGACAAAAATCTATCAGAGTCCTTGCTTTGAGCCGGAGTGGTGCATGGCCAAGTGTTTTAAAGAGGACCCTATACTTGTGCTTATGCAGAGCAGCAGAGGCCCAGTTACTGCCTGTACTACATGGCTCTTCAACAATGTGTTGGCTTCTGTTCCGCAAGGCTTTTATAAGAAGTCAGACTGGGGCCACTGTAACTGCAGCCCAAGCAGGATAGCCCCACTATGTGACCACCATAGCTGATGCTTCCTGTGTCAGCAGTATGGAATTTTATATGGAGCCAGTGATGACAGATGGCATGTGCCAGTGGAAGTTTATCCCACCACATATTCTATACTGCAGTAGCTTACTCTATTGCAGAAAGTACTTTCTATGAAATGGAGGCATGTAGTTACCATCACCTGAGTAATGTTGGAGGCCTGTGCAGAACTGCTGAGGGACAGCTCACCCTGTTGGAGACACCGGCTGGACTATTATATAAAAGGAGAACTTAAACATCCAGTTTGGACACAAGCAAGGATTCTGCTTTGCACCTGTCAAAGAACTGGTGATGGTGCCAGTCCAGACAGCAGTGGGAACTTGTGGCAGGCATTGCTTCCCCAAGCATTGCACCCATGTGTTTCAGTCACAGGTTCTTTACCACTCTAGCTATTTAAAGTGCAAAATACAGTCTCAGGACTGATCCAGCTTTGATCTGACAAAGCAGATAATGACAATAGTTAGAACTGCCAGTTTGATGTAAAAATATGTCAGTGATGTGGCTGATTTCAACAGGCATTTATGTCCTGTCCACCCTAGCAATAATCCATGAATTTGCATTTCTAAAATTTTATAAAATGCAAGAGAGGAAGTTTAGGAAAGTGGAGGGAGCCCTTTTTCCCTTTCTAAGTTACAGAATGAGTAGCTTCAAACTTGGGCGCTATTCTGACACAGTAGTTTTGGCTATTAGTGTTTTAAATTATACTTGTTATGGGAAGCCTAGCTGCACAAAAATTAGAACGCAATCCAAATTTAATAAGGCAGACATTACAACCTTCCAGTAGCCAATCTATGATGAACTGTATTTTATTGGACATCTTAATAAGCTCACAGATGGGAAAGCTACCTAATGAGGTACTGAATACTTAATCAAGGAGGGAGTTATAGCTGTGCTCAAAAGACAGCTAGATCATGAAGCTGAGAAATTTCCTCCACTTTTAAAAGCCATTTTTGCCTTATGCAAGAAGATGTGGGCAAAATTTTCACCATAGCTTGATCTAGTTTTTGTTTTGTTCCTGGAAGTGCCAGGTTTGAGTCACAGCCCAAACACTGGAGAGCCAAATAGCAGGCATGCTTACCATAAAACTGGAGTCAAATTGGGCATTCACTACAGAAAGGTCAATTAGCAGGGACACCAGATTCCTTTAGTGCAACAGAATGGCATTTTTTTGCTAACATTGGTATGTTAATACACAAAGTGTGTGAATAAAGGTTGGAGTTTTTGTAAAAATTATCATGCATCTGTATAAAAATGGTGTTTTCACTGTTTCATGTGGTTCTTGCATCCTACCAAGTGTATGCAATGTGGCACAAAACACAACACCCAGTTCATACCATGAATGTATATAAAGAAGTGTTTAACACTTGTAGTATCAGGTTGTAACGTATAAGCTGCTGCTTGACCCACAACTCTTTACACATGATGGTGAAGACACTCCACTCCCAATATGGTTGGAATAAACCTTTTGCCACCTCACCCACTCTGAATCCATGGCCATGCTGGCACATGGCAAACCTTTGTGGGCCATAAGCCACTCTGGGTGCACTGCTGTGTGAACAACCCAAAGTAAGACTAATAGATGAAGAGGTCCTTGACCTCTCCTCTACTTCTCAGTTTTTTTATGGTTATCTTTAAGGACACTGCAGGAAGAATGAATCATTTCTCTCTGCCCCCAAGCTGTTCCGCTTTACTGTGGCATTTCCTCCTCGTAAGCTTTTTTTGGGGACAGAGACTGCAAAAGCCAGCTGTCAACCTGGCTTTTTCGATCCACAGCTATTAACCTTTCCAGTTGCACTGATGTGCTGATTTGAAGGCTTGCCGGCGGCAATGTATTTGGGGGTACCTACTATCAAAAATGAGCCAGTACCACCTCTGGACATTGCTCCCAAAGGGTTCCAGATAAAATTTTCTCTTTTTAATTTTTCTTGCTGTCAGGTTACCTGTCAAGTAAAAAAAAAACCAAAGCTCTGAGAAGTCTTTGACTGCTAAACTGGGTTTTCATGGAGAGTTACATCCTCTTCACAACTGGGTGCACATTTTGCACTTTTCCCCAGGCTTCTAGGCAATTAGGAAAGTGCAAAAATACACCCCTCCACACATTTTCCTAGGGGAAAATGTTTTGACAACTTTGAATGATAGCTGTCACATCTCTCGAATCGCTTTCAAAAAGGGTGTTTTGAGTGGAAATCATGTTGGTATGAAAAGGACCAGAAAAAACCGACCATCTATTCCATTCATTCTTTTTATTAAAGTTAAGAATACAACATGTAATGAGATCCCATTTCCCAGAGATCCCAATCTTCAAAGTCCAAGATGTGCTTTGTTGCCTCCAATAGTAAGCAATTTTAAAAAAGAAAATACTGAACAAGGCCACTAGTTAATGGGGGGGAAAGAAGCTGTAAATCTCAACTACACTATGCTGAAACCCTGCACACACAAAGAGAAAGCAAGCAAACCTCTGATTGCTGAGAATAAGGCATTCAGGTGCCAACCTGGGAAGAAGTCTCAGCAAGCACCACAGAAAAGTGCACAGCTAAGCAGTTTCTTACTGGGACACAAAATGTCCTAAACAGAGACCAATGAGGGTTAAGAACAGCAAGTGGAGCATTGTGTTTCTGTACAGATTCTGTGCTGAGAGACCAGGTTGCCCCTTTTTGGGAGTGAGCATGTGATGATCCAGGGCAATGCAGCTTCTGCTGGTACAAATACAGTACTGCTGCCACCCACCCCCACCCCCATGCTTTTCAGACAAGTAGACTAGGTCCGATATGTATCACCACTTCCCCTTACTAGGGAAGTCATCCCTCTATTAACTGGCTGTAACTACCACTGGGAAGGTTTCAATCATTATTGGGCTCCCTGTTGTATTAAAGGGGTTCAATTAATACTGTTCTGTATTATCCAAACACATTCTGGCCTTTCTGCATTCAGCATCATGATCCTACCCAGAACACAGGTATATGAAATTGCCTACAAGTACCATTTAAGCACCTCTTGTAGGTCTGAACACTTCTAAGAGTCTGTTTTCAAGGGGTAAAAGTTCAAGAACCAAATCCTGAAAAGCGGTGTGGGGGGGAGACTAAGCTCTTTTCTCATAATAAATATTTCTTTTTAACGTGAGCAAATCTACCATCCCACAAAACATTTGACACTTGTATTTAATTCCCTATAGGACAAAATAACTGCCATCAGTGTGAAATACTCTGCATAAAAACAAATTCTACATTTTTCCCAAAGTTTCTTTCCAAATCCAACATGCCTCATCAATCCTAAACAGGAAGAAGGAACTATATTTCCCCTCACTCAAACTGAGTGTTATGCTTAGCAAAAATTATCCCTTCTCCTAACGTACCACTACCCCAGGTAATGAGCTCTCTGAGGAAGATTAAAAGAGCCATCAAGTTTCCCTCAGGCCCCAAGCACTATCTTAACAAGGAAAGAAAAATGTGTTGCATCCAAATATATTGTGTGGGCTGTTTCCCTCCCCACCACTTTTGAAAATAATGCACAGCATTGTCCTATATACCAGAAGGGAAAGAAGGAATGGCAGTGTTACATTACAGCCAAGTGGAGTTCAGTAGATTTAATACAGGCAACATTAGTGTTACTGTAGTGCAGTAGCACATAAAATAATCCAGAATGGATTCTCAGTTAGCCAGCCAGCCTTCTTTCCTCAAGCACAAAGCTGCTTTCTTGTGGGTTCCTCCCTGCCCCCTTGAAACCACTGCCTCTTGCTAACTCACCTAGGAGGCAGGTGTCCAGCACTAACAATTGCACTCGGATAAAGAGCATGGCAGGCCCAACTGAATGGAGAAACACTGAAGAGAGACCTCAAAAGGTCAAGATACATACCACATTGTGACTTAGGCTATCAAATCCCAACAGGGCAAAAGGCTGGCAAAAGAAAGACCACCTAAAAAAACCCATCCACAAAAGGGCAGAGAGCTTGGAAGGCATGCCCTGCAAAAGGAACAGAGCTCAGCTGCACAATGGCCCCTGCCTTCACCTTCTAACTTACAAGGGCTGAGCAAGGCAGTAAGCACCTGCTTACTCTTAACCCTTGTGTGCAGACTGGGCCTACTGGGTCTAGCTGTCCAATATATACCAGCACTAGGAAGAATCTGCAGGACCCGGACGCCCAACTCTGCAGGGGTTTTGCCTGGCCTTCTTGCACTTAAAGAGTTCGTGCAAAATTGAAACAGTGTGTGGTACTTGCATGTTGCAATCTATACAAAACCCCTCCCCCCATTTTAAAACATTTATATAAATTTTTTTAAACAGAAAGTTAGAAATCTTATTTACATTTTTTCCTCTCAAAAGAGCATCTAAAAATCAACTTACCTGAACAAGATACAAATTTCAATTAAGCTAGATTTTTAAAAAAATTGCTAAGCCACCTTCTCATGACAACCCCTCTTGTTTCTACAAATAAATATGGCATTGAACAGAAGCTGATTAAGTAAGGGCTTTCTGTAGCTTAGGCTGTAAATCCCAGGAGTAAGTTAGGATTTAAGAACTTCCAGGTCTTCGGAATCAATTAACTCCAATGCTTGAGGTATGAATTTCTCTTCCATGTTATAGTTAAAATTCCCTGCAAAGCTTCCACTTCGTCCTGGGCAAGGAGTGGACTGGTTGCTCCTATGGTTCTGTTTTGGTTGCAGTCCTTGACATATGGCCAGTTTTACTGCATCTCGTTCTCCGAACAGCCTCCCCCAACTGTGAAACGGAACTCCTGAAGATTTGAAACACCATGGAAGTGCACAAATGCACCAGCCACTACAAATACATGGAACAGCTGGTGGGAGTGAAACTATGGGAGAGAAAAAAGAATACCACATCACCTCAGAGTGCAGGGATCTTCCAGAACAAGCATCACAAGAGACAACACTGCAGGCTAACAGTAGCAGGTATACAGCAAAGAATAAACCACCAACCTCACTAGGAAATGATGCTGGTTTCCAAGGGTGACCTGGCTGTACAAACACTGAGAGATGGAAATTTAAACTTATCCAAGCCCAGTCCACTTGGCATAATTGGTTGGACAGCTGGACATGTGTGCACATGTGTACACAGTGTTAACAGCTCTGCTTCAGAATAAGTGTATTTTTGCAGCTGTGCACCATTCCTTCTCTCGGGAACCAGATATGCCAAGACAGTTACTGTGCAAAGATTGTTTCCTGTACAGTCTACCAAGAGAAGGCTACTGCATTTTCTTAGGTCTAGTGTCAAACTGGGCAGCAGGGCTCTCTCTTAGCCCATAACTGAGCAATAAGCAGCATTCTGAGAACTGCATTATTGCCTCTGATCCCTGGCCAGGACCTGCAGCTCTTTTGGTTCATCACACAGATATACGGTAGGGGTGGCAATGATGCCTCCCCACCTCCCTAGAATGTGCCTGGCAGCTATTAGCCATACTTACCCAGATGTCACACTTGCCCGGGAAGAACCTCTCCGGGATGCGAGCAGCATACAGTGCAGCGCCAGTGATATAGAGGCAGGCCATGAGTGCCAGCCAGCCTATCTGCCCCATTGTGGCAGCCTTGAGGAGCCCTTCCGAGATGACAAAGTGCAGCGTGGGAATGACCCCACTAAGGCCCAGAGCCAGAAATACTCCTAGGAGATAAGGGAAGTGTGACAGATTCAGCCTGGGACACAAGAGAACCAGGGGCAGAAATGAGGGCAAACTGCCAAAGCTCAGGATCTCAAAACAGAGCAGGAAGGGCTTGTGGTTTTTTTAAACCTCAACACTTAATTAATTGGTCCAGTTAAAACCCTTTTCATGAACTGAAGTAGTGCCTTTAATCAGTCTAGAGGTAGGCATTATTTTAGAAGAGGCATCCTTCCTTTTGTCACAACCAGGAGGCAATACATGCTTAAAGATATTGGCTTGGTTTGCACAGCAAGTGCACAGCAAGGTTAAATCATGGATTAGCACTATTTGCATATGCAGGAAGGGTCTGCTCCAAGTCATGGGCTTGAACAAGCCTTCCTCTTCTTCCTACAAGGCCAGGAGGATGACTCTGCCTTAGTTTAGGTTTACTTTCCTCAAAGCCTGGCTTGATATTACATATGAAACAGAAAGCATGGTTTAAAATCAATTCTGATTAAAGATACCAGCTTTGTATGATGCAAAGTTGGCTTGTTTAGAAGCAATTCATAGTTCATTTTAAACAAATGTACAATAAATACATTGTACATAAACAAAACTAAGTTCTGCCAAAGTTGTTCTCTGTCATGCAGGAAGAAGAAGGGAGAGGGAAAGCTTATCAAGCTGAAGGTTAAAGCAGTTCCTTCCTCCTTACCATCTAGTGTTAAACCAGTTACATGGTATGTGCAAACACAATCTGTGTCTGCTGCAGCATATATACACAACACCTAAAAATCAAGTTTGCTTTTTTCCTCCTTCACAAGCCCTTTTTCATGTTTTTATCATGAAATTTATTAAAACTAATGCAACTGACCATGAGTTCTTCAATTAGACAACACCCTTTTTTTCAAAGTAAAGCAAACATAATTTCATTTTAAGAGTCTTAAAATATGTGCTACAGAATGGTCAACAATTCTTCAGAGTGTGTTGATTTACCTCTAACTTTCTAAGCACATTGGTTGCAAACTTGAAAATAAAGAATTATAGGCTATAAGAATGTATAAGAATATAGGCTATGTGCCTTCACATGCCTCTAATGGAAAAAGGAAGATACTCGAGGGATTCATGAAAAAAAAAAAAGCTTTGAAGGTGTTTGGCTGTTGCAGTCCACAATTTGAACTGAGAAGTCAGGGAGAATGGAAATGCCAAGTATTTGCATAATTCTCCCTATATAAAGTTTCATTGGTTACACATTCCATCTTAAGGTTTCCTGTAGTTTGGCAATGTAAAGATTCCCAGAAAGTAAGGAAATTTGCTATGACAAGTTTCCTAAACTTGTAATAAGTCAGTCACACTTTTTCCAAAATTCAAATAGGAGGCAGGAATTTGTTCATTCTATCTCCCCCTTTCGCTCCTATATACACAAACATTGCTTAGAATGTATAAAAGATTACTTATCCTCAGAGGACCCTCTCCTTTGTCTTGCTACACAAGTTATTATTCCAAGCATGTCTCCTGATTGGAAGAAGACAAGCTGAAAGCAGCAACCCATGCAGAATTGGAGTCTCCTCTGAGGGCAGGAAATCCTGCTCCCTCCCTGTGCTGAAGGAACTGGATACAGAGAGGTGGCAAGGCAAAGTCTCTGCCCCTCCATAAAGCAGGAAGTTAAGAGCAGTGGACTATGCAGAGATATGACAAATAGTGTCTCCTTAACAGTTAGAAACCTTCCACTTCCTGCAGTCTGCTAGCAGTTCTTGTAACACATACAGGTGCACCGTTTCTGATTTTGGATGAATAAATTGTCTCTCTCTTTTCAAATTGCTCAGACATAGTCAGAATTCATACCCATTCACATTATCATTATCAAAGAAAGAAGCAGGCTAAGCTCAAGCATGCAGTCAGTAAAACATGCTTGGCATTTATAGTCAAGGTCCATAGCTTATTGCCACACAAACCAAATGAGAATTAATGAATGCTACAAGTTCACGTTAAAGAAAAGGATGCAAGTCAAGCAAATGTTATGAAGAACAGTGAATAACGTGGAATCTTCATTGCATCGTAAGACTTAGACTAGAACATGCAATGTTATCCACAGTTGGCACACAAAAGACTGTAAACTACAAATCTTTCACCGTCTTTTAGTTTCAATGGTTTTCCTCACTATTTGTGTACATATAAAAGTTTCGAAGGGACTTTTTCACTTGTGGCACCCTGGTTGTGGCACGCTCTCCCCAGGGATGCTCTCCTGGCCCCCATGATGTTGTTCTGCTTTGTTTTATTAAACTGTGTCTGCTTTACAGATTTTGCACTGTTTCTGGTTTTTACATTCCTTTTATTCTAGTGATGTTTTAGGCTTATGTTTATGATCATATGATTTGAGGCTTTATTTTGACAAATGCCCACACATCATCATCCCTTGGGCAGTACACTAATGTAATACATAAATACCAGAAAATATGATTTTGTACATCTGATGAAGCAGGAACTAATAGAAGAAAGTGTATCTCATCATACCTTTTATTCTCTTCAAGATGCCAAAATACCATTTGATGCAGAGACAAACAAACATAACTACTTTCATGAAATGTGATATTATGCAAGGTATGAGTGAAAATAATAGTAATACCCTAAGCTAGATTTGAGAAGGCAAAGGTTAAGTTTTTAAAATATGATTACCAACTCAGACACTAAAGACAAAAATCTCTTCATGTGCATATGCAGGGGAACATCCTTCAAACACTATCCCGTAATTCTTACCTGCTCGTACTCCTCGATACTCAGGGGTTGCAAACCTGTCCCACTGGGAAACTATAATCGCTGCAATGCCCAGGACACAGATCACAATCAGATAGATGAAGCAGGGCTGAGGGTTGCAGTAAAAGGAGTAGTACAGCCATGGAACAAAGCTGCCCATAATGAGGAGGGCAATGCCAGAGTAGTCAAGCCTAAAGTAGGGGGAGAGAGAAGTGGCATCTCACACATCACAACACTCTTGACTATGACAAACTGCCTGCCGAACATCCACACCTAGTTTTACATGGACTAGGCCCCTATTAAAAGAACCTGAAAGGTTAGGAAGACTCAAGTGCCTCCCGTGCTCACAGGAAGGAAGGGAGACCATCTCTAAATAGCAACTTCTAAAGCCTTACAATGTCACTTTTGCAGAACTGGAGCCAGTTCCTGAAGCAGGAATGCTCATGCCAGCCTCCCCAAGCTCTTGGGCTACAACTTCTATCGTCCCCAGCCACCTGGCACACACCAGGCTGAGGAAGAGTGAACTCCACTTTCCTCCCCTGGTCTGAACAGCTAAGCATTTCAACAGTGCATTGCCCCTTTCCAAAGCACTTCATAAATAGCAATCCTTACAATTATGCTGCAAGATGGGAAAATTTAGGCAACCCACTATTATTTCAGCCTCAAACATTCCACTGCCCCCAAGCCAGGGGCTTTCTGGCTCCAAGCTCACACTAGCATTCAGGGTGAATAAAAATCAATATAAAAAGATTTTTAAAATTTTAAAACAGATTTTTATTTAAATTTACTTAATCCAAAGGTTGTTCCTCATGAAATAAGGATTCGTTTTTTAATGTAGCATGAGGCTGTACATCCATGCAATGTTTAATTTTTTTGGTAAATAAATTCCATTAATCCATTCATAATTTCACATTCTTTCAGGTGTTTCTGTAAGATTATTGGGTATTTTTTCTGTCTAGCAGATAGGATCATAAACACTTGATTTTCCAGTTCTCAAAACTGTGAATTTGCATCTGCAGAGATCAAATGTTATAAAATAAACACACAGAGTTGAGAAAAAGACCTTAATCCCAATGTTCCTTTGTAAATCTATGTATACAGAATCAACCTCTTGCCTCTTAAGTGCTAAATTTCAAAACATTCAATGAATAAAAGAGGATTGTTAGGAGTGGAATAGATCTGCACAAGCAAGCAGTAAAAATGAAAGTGAAACTCTTTCAGCAGAATACTCCATATCCCTTTGGATCTTTTTGTGTATAACCTGAGGTTTACTGTATTGTTCTTTCCCTGGAGGAGAAATCCTCTAATGGCAGCAGGCCATAACAGAGAACCAGTTTGGAAATATTTTATGAAGTTTTTAAAATTAATATTCTTTTATTTTATTTTAATGAATATTAATAAAGTTCTACCTAGGCATGCATGCATGCATGCAAAATGCAAATACCTCACAATAATTTCATAATTATCCATGATATGTTTATAATCAAATCAGTATTTTAATATAATTGTAAAGCTAATCTGAAAAGGTGCTATTCCAAAAATGAAACCTTCAACTGATTGTAAATATTAAGAATATACCAGCAAGAATGAGTCTTTATGTAGAAAACCATGTTTTAAATCTAGTCTTACTGACTAGTGATTTAAGTTAATTTGATTTAAATCAAATCCACCCTGTTAACATTAAAATACTTACTTAGAGAAAAGTCTTGAGACTCCTTCTGAATGGCAGTAAACTGTGTGGAAGAGCCATGAGAAGGAGAGACAGAGAATGGCTCCTAAGAAGAACATTCCAACCACCACCTTCTCTTGAACAGGTGCTACAAAGGACATGTTTGGCCGGAACATATAAAAGATTCCCAGGCACAGAAAGAACACACAACCTGGATAAATGAAAGCAAAGTCATTGGGCATGTCAAACTGCAAGATGAGGGCAGAGTGTACTCAAAATAACATCAAATCACATTCATGGCACACAAGCCATCTGACACATTTGTCTAGACCAGCCTTCCCCCCCAACCTGGCACCATTCAAACATATTGGACTACAACCCCCCAGCATCCCCTGACAATGTTGCCCAGGGGATGGTAAGAATTGCCCAGCAATCTGACAGTACCAGGATGGGTGGAGGCTATCTGGATCTTTCAGGTCAATGTATGCTTCTGGTAAAATAACCCGAATAGAGTGCAGATACATGTTAGAGTCCTTCAGTTATTCCTCACAGGCAGGCTTATTTTCAGACCAGAGGTCTGCCAAATCTATCTAACAAAATTCATATTATTCTAAGAGATTAACTCTGCTTTTCCCAGCAGCTCTTGATCCTATCCCACTAGAGTATAATTGCTCTCTCAAGAATTAGTTGCTTTCTCTACTCTTTTGCCAAGATGCTGCTGGGTTTTTTTAACATTCCAGCAGCACTGCAGCAAACCAGATTCAGTTTGCTGCATTTAGGCATTCTGCACAGCAAACTGTGAGCACAGAAATACAGCACACAGACACTGGACTGGCACAAACAGCCATATGGCTCGTGCAGCTCCACTTTGACCCTAGTGCTCTGGGAAGGAAACAGTTGCATACTTCAAAAAATGTCAGCGAGTTTATTTCTAGTTCTTTCCCAACATGGATACAAACATTGCAATGCCAGCTCATGCGAATGTTTTGCCTATTCTATCATTAGTCCCAAGGGCCAGCAAGACGCGATTTAGCTTTCTTCAAAGGGTATGTTGCAGTGATACTGTCCCAGAGAACTACTAAGCATGCAATTCTTCTGCAGACCTGTAAACCAGATGAACCAGCTTGGAGCCTTGAACCAAAGAGTATGTCTCAGTGTTTGACAAACACAAGATGTCTTCATAGAGCACACTCTTGGGGCAAAAGGAAGACATATAAGCCAGCTCTAATGAACAACAGTATTAACAGCTGGAGTGAAGGGCAGTTTCACTCATCAAGTGGTTTTCCTTCAGCTTATCAGGGATGGCATATACTTTGTGGTGGGGGAGAGAAACAAGGGTTGCCCCCAATTTTCAGCACATGCATCCAAAATGTTGACGTATTTCCTTCTTAAAAGCTGTAAATAAGCAAAAGTACTGCTTGCAACTCTAATCCAAATCATTTCCCAAGGCAACAGGAAATGGAGCATGATCTTTCGTATGGATCTGTCAATACTAGCAACCTTCAAAATGTTACCAGACACAGGCAAAAATATTAATACATTTACAAGTTGAAACTGAACCTAGATAAATTATTCCAAGTATAACAATAATGAGAGGTCATTTTAATAAGGAGGTTGAAGACTGAAAAATTATTGCAACTAGTTATCCACAATCACTTTAAACAAGTACAACACTAAGACTTGATGTGCACGACACACCAATCGACCAACCATAACAGTTAACAATTGGTTGTAGTCTGAACTCAGCATGGTTTTTTTTTCCCCACACTAAGCACAGCAAGAACCCATGGACTGCTGTAGGGTTACTTTTTACCACGGCAGCTAAAGACCTACAGCCAGCAACTCAGTTGGAAAGAAGAGGAAGAAACCCTTCACTGCTCTCTTCAAGCTGTCCTCGACCAATGCCACTCCTAGCCACTCCACAAATGCCGAGCAACAGTTCAGGGTAGGTGGCACTTGCTTCCCTCCATCCTTGCTATGTTTGGAGGTCTGGCCAGGAAGTAGGTAGATTTGTACTGAGACACAGCAGTACTCAGAAGTCCTCAGTACTGAGAAGTTCTAATCCCCACATTTGCCTCCTGCCCCCGCCCCCCAAATCTTAAAGGGACACAGAGTTTGATAGCTACTTGCCATGTAGCTGTATCCCTTTGAGAAAGTCGGTGGGGAGACATTTTTAGCTTTTCTTAGCCCCTAGAGGATCAGCGAAAGTGGCTCCTCCATGGTGGTGGAATTGAAAAATTGAGGTTTTTCACTAAGTGGGAGAAATCCCCCCAAACACCTCCACAACCCTTCCCAGATGAAGGGTCCTCATATCTTGGATTTTCTTGACTGGTCCACTCCTCCAGCTACTCAAGAGAAAGCCAGTGGGGGAGGGGGAACACTGTGCAGACAGAGCCTGGTAGAGAACTGAGATGTTCCTATTAGCACATCTGCAATCACCTTTGTGTAAGATAAATTTGTGTGCTCGTTTTTGTGTACACAACAGAAGAAAAATTCTAGGCAGCCTCTAGAAACCTCTCCAAGGTGCTCCTAGGGCACTTTGAAGAAGAAGCTGACGGGTGAAATGGGGGCCTGGGGAAGCCGGTTGGTAAGCTGGCTTTCCTGATCCCTGGAAAATTAATATTACAGGGACAAAACAGTTAGGATGAGCGGAATACAACCCAGCTTCATGATGTGAAAGGGGAAGGGATTTGTTCTTCCTCCAGTGTCTTTGGGATAGCAACTGGAGGACTGAGGAGGAAGGAGGGTAAGGCAAGGAGTGAAACACCTATGAGTCACGCTGTTTGTTTGGTCCATTGTGGGTAATACATGCAATGAATAATCCATCTTGATAAATTACCTTGATGAGTTGCTGTCACATGTGAAGCCACCCAAATACAAAGGGAGACAAAAGCTACCCCATGTTGAATGCTGTGGAATCTTCTATTTGTTCTAAGAAATCTTGTTCAGGAGCAATAGACAAAGCTCCCAAATCCATTCCCCTCACCTGATATTAGTTACAAAACTTAATTCCACTTTTAAGTTTTACATCAAGGTTGTTACCTAGTAGGTGCGTCCAGATATTGCCAGTCTCTGTGTGTATTCTGAAAATGCTTTTGAAGCATGCCCGGAAAGAGGGCATGGGGGGTCGGTGCCCATGAAGCAAGTAGTCATTGTCCTTTAGCCAATCAGGCAAGACATCAAAGGGAATTACACGCCATCTGCCCTCCCACACCTGAGAAGAGAAATAAAGGATTAGATTAGCAGCAGTCCAGGGAAGACATTCGTAAAATCATTCAAAAGATTAAAGGAGATGTTACACAGAATGGTTAGGCCAGTGTTCCTATCCATGTATTCTTCAATACCACCACAAAATATTGTGGAATCAAACTGATTTGATTTTTCTAATTGCTGGGCCCTATTTTAGACTAAGGGACAAAAGCATCCATCTGGTGATGCAATCCCCTCATTTGAGAAGCCATCATGGGTTAGCATCATTCAAGGTGACAAGTACAAGAACCACTTAGTAACATATTAGCAGTGACTCTGGCTTTAAAGGTTCTTCATGATGGTCAAATACTCTGTCCAAGTTACCACCAGTACAAAGCTCACTGGAAGGCTCAGTGAGTTTTCTTATAAAGGGGATCTGTTGGCAACATATAGGTACATAAGGGGGTGTCACACGGAGGTGGGTAGAGACCTGCTCTCCCCTGCAGAGGAGGGCTGGCTGTGTTCCAATGGAGCAAACCTCAGGGAACCAAGGTTTAAGTTGGATGCCAGGAAGTACTTCCTGACAGTTAGGACCCCTAGGGTATGGAACAGGCTTCCACGGGAGGTGGTTAAAGCCCCATCGTTGAGGGTGGTCAAGGATAGGCTAGACATGCACATGGTAGGCATGTCATGAGCAGAGCCGGCTGGAGCTGGGAGTCAGACTAGATGGCCCAGGAGGACCCCTCTGACTCACTGTTTCTATGATTCTAAAGAGGGGCAAAAATACACTTACAATAAAGGAACAGGGGATCTCTAACTGCATTTCAGTCCATGAACTTGTTTTCAGTACAATAGCAGAGTCAAAGCTGCCCAAATTGGATACCATTACTACAACATGTGCAAGTGAATTTCATAGTTTACCATTTTGATGCTCATTTTTTCAATTTAAGAGATCCTTTAGAATCAGCTCACACTCCCATTTTGTTTTTCATTTTTTCTTTCATCTGCAAACTTTTTTTTGTTATCTGCAAACTTAGCCACTTCACTGCTCACTCCTAATTCTAGATATTTATAAGTAAGTTGAAAAGCACTGGGACCAATACAGATCTGTGTGGAGTCCTACTGTGGGGCAGCCCTAAACAACCTGGGGGCAGGATATCTGAGGGAACACCTTCTCCATATATCCCTTCCCAGTTACTAAGATATTCAACAGAGGTCCTTCTTCATGAACCATCCCCCAGTGAAGTGAAGGGGCAGATGGATAGAAGGGCCTTCTCTGTGACTTCACCTGATTCATGGAACACCCTTCCCAAGGATGTGCACCTGGCACAGTGACTGCTAGTTTTCCAACTGGTTCAATAACAATTACATCTCATATGAGGTCCTGGTTGACCCCATGCAGGATTAAATCCTGGGTCACTTCCTTTCTGATAAGTTTCACAACCAACTTTTCTAGACACAGTCTTCATTATGACTGGAACATGTATTTATCCAGTCAATCTGGAGATATTTGAAGTCACCCATTATTATTACAATACTTCCTCATTTAGAAGCCTCACTGATTTTACTTTCCATCACAAGATCACCACTGAGCTTCAGCTTTGTCTGAAATATATCTTTGAGGAAAGGATGGATGATTGTCTTAGGGCATTTCATTTTTCAGGATTTAAAAAGTTAAATAAAAAGTCAGACTGCACCAGTGTGTACTGGTACAGCAATCAGGGCTGCAACACTGATTAGTCTATGCACTTACACATAATGCATGAAAGTCCTTACTGATGGCTTGTGTCATCCCAAACAGCAATCACCAAAAGCTACATTATATGTGCTCTTGTTAACCTTCAGGGATGGGTAAAATTGTTAAGGAAAACCTTGTTTACATGGCAGCTTTTCTAAACTAGGTTTATGGAAGTTGTAGAAATTGCGTTGGACATCCTGGATTTCCCAGGCTCTCCTTCCAATGAGGGATGAATGACAGCAAAACAAAAACAGAATGCATACATTCAGTTCTAATTCTTGTTAGGTCCAGTAGCCAGACACCAGTATAAACCATTTCCCTTGAAATTAGCTAAAGAAAGTCAAGACTGGTAATATTTACACAGCTCACAATGGATTTGCACAGGGTAGCATTTCAATAGAACTTTCTTTTTTTCACTTGGATGGACAACACAATGAGGCTGCTATGCAAAGGAGACAAATGGTAATCTGAAAACAAAGATTTGCAAAGCCTGAGAAAGAAAGTGTGCAAAAAAGTTGACCTTGTAAATTAAAGCTCTCTGACCCAGAAACACTAGAAGCAGAGAGCATTATTCTGCTTGGACTTCCACAGATGTTTCCAAAAAGAGACTCAACAGTTGTACCATCATGTTTAATCCCATATTTCAACATGTAATCCCTATCGTGCTAAACTTTCTAATTCATCCAATTATGGGAGGCCCAAGATCCACAACACACACACACACACACACACAGCATCAGTCAAGTCAACAGAATTCCTTGATGGCCACCCACTGTGACCTGACTCTTTGTTGCCAAAAGTGCATGCTCTGCTAGCCACAGGACCCACCAGCTGTGTGAAGCTCACTAGTGCATGATGGCCCTTTGCTTTGTGGCTTCTTACCTTACATACAAACTCTTCCATCCTCTCCATAGCATGGTGGGCTTGAAGGAGAGGAAGCATCCCCATAAACCCTTCATCTTCTGTAGTTGAACTGCTGCCCCCATCATTGTCATAACTCTGAAAGAAAAAATTGGAGCAAAATGGTGAGCAAAAAGGCGCTTTAACACAGGGACTGAACACAAAATTTAAGTGCAAGATATGAAGATGGAAAAGCACACATTTATTTGTATTTTAATTCTAATTAAAAGTATAAGGTTTTTGTCTGTATTTTAATTGACCTTTTATGGATTTTAGGGCCTGTGTTGTTTTTAGTTTTTATAATGGTTTTAATTTGATTGTGAGCCACCTAGAGGTGCTGTGGCACAGTGGGCAGCATAAGAGTATTTTAAATAAATAGAGAATACACACACATCCACAAAAAGCAGGTCTCTGGCTGCATATCCCCCAAAATGCATTTTTTGCAATTTTGGAAAAGAAAGCAAAATATTGAAAAGTGCTGTGCTGCTTTCTTATGAGATAAACTAGGAGGCTGGTATACAACATGAATGTATTCTGTTATTTATTGCAATTGCATGAGAGCCAGCAACTCATTTACTTGGAAGAACTGTTCGTGCCTTTTGCGTTTATGAAAATCCAGTTGGTAGCTACAACAGGAGTGGGCCACATGTGATTCACAGGTGCACTGATCCCTCATTCTTCTTTGTGATCTCTCCCCCGCCCCCAATTCCTACTGGACAGGCCTGCGTGGCAGGAGTGAGAAAAGGTTTTTCTTTTAAAAGAAGATGTAGTGGTGTGCACTTTGTTTTAATGCAAAACTGTTCCCCACCCAGGTAACTCGTGCATCTGATCTTGCTGTAAAACAAGGTGCATGCTTCCCATACACTTTGTTTAGAGTAGGAAGCACAGCTTATTTTCTCACTACCAAATTACCACTGAAAACTGGCCAGATGGAAACTGGTCCCCAAAGCCTGCAAAGTTGACCCTCCCTGAGATACAACAATGATCAAACAAAAAACAGTGTCAGGCAAAACTTACTTTATATTAGTCCCCTTTATATATAAAAAAGAAGCACACAACTAGCTTTTCAACTGCCTTATACTGAATGGGGCATTGGTCCAGCTAGGTCACTACTGTCTACTCGAAAAGGCAGACATCTCAAAGCAGACTCTTCCTAGCTCTGCTAGGCAATCAACTTGGAAAGTTTTGCATAGAAAGCATGTGCTCATATCGTTCAAAGGCCCAAAGTACTTTGGTACCCCCCTAACGCCCATCTCCATCAGTCAAGATCAGTAACTTTTAATCAAGGGAACTGTCTCATATTTTGGGTAACATAGAATATTAAATTGTTGGTGTGCTGATATTTCTACAGTAACAACCTCTACAATAACAATAGTTATGCCTTTCCTTCCTATGGGATGTACTTTTAGAATTATACTTCTAGTTTGAGGTCAAAATCTGGATAAAGTGCAGTATTTAGAATCAGACAGCACTACATATTTTAAAGGTTAATCAAGGACATCCCTCTGATTACTAGAAAAAAGCACAAACCTTCAATTCCAAAGAACACTCAATGGGTGGGCTGGCACAGCACAGCAAGCCTTCGGGGCTAATAAGGCACACAGTATAGTTTCTTTGGGCGAGCACCTAACAAATTATCAGCCTGCCCTGATTTTTTTTCCCTCTTTCCACCCACTTCCCCTTCCCTTCCCCTCAGACCTCCATGGGGCAGCAGCATATATCCCATGTGTCCTTACGGCAGAAACAGTATCTGGGGCCTGTTGCATTGTTATGTCACCAGTTTTTTCCTCATTAGTTTTTGCCATTAAGTGACTAGCTTTTTGCAATTGGTTTACTTCATGAACAAGTAATGTCCATGCTTCCTCTGGGTCTCACCCCTGCTTGCCATTTCCTCCCAACCAGTCCCCGCAACCCACTCTCTGCACAAGAGCCTCTTCAAGCAGTCTGAAAACTTCTCTGGGTTCATCCAGTTCCCTCACCCCTAGTAATTTCTGATTCCCTGGCCACTGGCAGTTGTCATGTCCTGGCAGCTCTGCCCTTTCCCCTCCTCTGGGCTCTTCCCTTCCCCCTTGGAATTATCACCTGTACTCAAAGAGCTCACCAGAGTACCCTCCTCCTTTTCCCACCCTCTTCTCATTCCCAAGGGTTTTTTTCCTTCTCCATGGGTGAAGCTGAAAAAAGCCTTGGCTTGGGTAGAAATATTTAGAAATCAACTGACTCAAAAAACAAAAGAGTAGAGAGAGACAGGAGGCAACATTCCCTATCTGTCCAACCATGGGAAAAACTGCAGAACTGGGCAACTAATGCAGGTGAAGAACTTAAAGCAGCTGGACACAGGTAATAAGGAAATCAGGGTATGTCCCCCTCACAGGACTGTGTCAGGGGTACTAAACCCAGAGGGTTCAGAATCCTCTGTATGTAGAAAAAAAATAGAGCAGGTAGGAAAAGGCACTGTCCAAAGCAAATGCCTGCATGGTTGGTATGTTGGTCAGAAGCCACTAGAAAAAATGGCAAGAGAAGAACATTATGCAGCGGCAGGGAAGAAACAAGAGCAACAGAAGGCATAACTTGCAAGAAATGACAGCAGCCACACTGCAATCCCTTGCTAGTAGAGTGTGGGGTGGAGGGTGGGCTTTAGTAGGTGCAGCACAATCTGTAGCTAGGCAGACTTAGGAAATAAGTTTCTCTGCAACAATAGAAAAGGCAACAGTTCTTGCCTGCTCCTGTCATGTGCTTCGCTAGCAGACTGCTGCAAGAAAAGTAGCATCTGGTTTGGACGAGCTACGGAGGGTTAAGCAAAGCCTACAACCAGCCACAGATTATTGGGGTGGCCTTGTAGCCGCAAACACATGACCCTGTGCAAAGCACAGCAGGTTCACAAAATGCACTAAGTGACCATGGCTACACAGATTAAAGACTTAACCATTGTTTCACTTCTACAGGAGCAAAAGAGATCATTTTAAATTAGAAAAAAATGTTAATGCACTGAATTCATAGGCACAAATCCCCATGCTATGTTTAAATGTAACTGTGTGAAATAACTGAAAGCACCCATATGACCTTAGCAAAAAGAGTCACTTCACAGTAATAAGCACAACAGAGGAAATTCCTAGATCAAAAACAAGCTACTGGTTTGATTTTTAATGAACTTGCTCCCTCCTATAATCTTGGTAATCTTCCAATCTGTCAATATATTCCTTTTGGTTTTATTAAAGTTCTGGGAGAAATCAACACATCCAAAAATAATTAGAAAGTACAGCTCCTTCCCTTTGTCTGCTTCCAGAATGAACAGACAACCTGTGTAAGTGATGCAAGCAGTTTTAAGTTGGTCACTGGAGCAGGCCACTAACACAGCTTACAGGTTCTGCATTATTCAAAGGCTGCCCCTGTAGTTCTCATGTGGTTGGGCTGAACTCCTGCAATTGCAAGCTCCCCACGCTTTAACACCAGATCATGCAGAGTTGGAAACCCACGAAGAGTGTCCTTGACTAAAAAAGGCTTCTGCAGGAATCCAGTGAATAATGGGCTGCAGGAAGGGCTGTTTGGAAGACAATGAGGAGACAGGACCAACAGCTGCATCACAGCCTCTCTGTTCACATGAGGGGGAACTAATGAAATGAGTTCCTCTGCATTTTAAATGAAGCATAAGTTTCAGGTCTCATTGTATGTAATATTTTATCTGACTATGGGAATAAAAAGCATCCTCAAGTCTACTTGCTGGTATGAATCAACTGGACATCTACAGTATATGGAAGTGTGACCCAATATACAAGAAACCTGCAGGCACAGCATCTACAGTAATTCACACTGCATGCAAGATCAATTTTTTGGACCTGCACACTTGGATCCAGCTTTCAGCACAGTTTTAAAGGATGAGTGACCTAAGAGATCATACATTTAAATCTGTCAACAATTTGCACACCACAGCAAACCTTTCTACCAAGGACTTAGCTGTTTTTAAAACCATGTTAAATAAGTAACTAAGTATTTAAATAAGTTAAATAAGTATGCTGCATGTTCCAGCAGGAAACATGTTTCTTGTCAGTTTGGGAGCACCCACTCCACAATATGCCTTTTGGCGGATTCACCTCTTCTCTATAGGCTTTGACTAAAGGCTATGATATATGGAGATCTCCTATTCTGAACCTGTTTATAGTACAGAAACCTAACTTTGTCCTTATGGCAACATCTGACATGCTACTTCTTTCCAGAATAGGCAACATGAAGGTCAGGCCTGGGCAGAAGTGGGATGGGTGACTTGAGTGTATGATTCTAGGATTATTGCTGTCAACTGCCTAGAGAGCTTTGGCTATGGGCAGTATAAAAATGTAATAATAATAATAATAATAATAATAATAATAATAATAATAATAATAATAAAAAATAAAAAAAAGCTAGAGGCAACTCGGTTAAATGATCCAAAGAGCAATGAAGCCCTGGACAGATATTTCCAGTATGTCCTATGGCCTTCATCAAATACTGTCCTTTCTAGAAAAATCATTGCAATGAAGTGCAGACTACTTGTCGGGAAGCAGGAGAAGTGAAGTGGAGCATTTCAAAGCTACAGTAGTGAAGGCATTAACTGGCAGCAATGAGAACCCAGGATAAGATCCAGAATCAACCCAGATCTCTTGGATTCCAGTCCAAGCCAATACGCTCAAGCCAATACAATGGCTCCTTTAGGTTTTTAATGCTGCTTGATTCCCTAGCAAACACTAAATTACTAATACAACTGAACAGAAATAATACATAATGAATCCTTCTTGTGAAAAACGAAGGAGCACTGTTCTGCAGGGTGCTGATAATTGATCTGCTAAAAATAGGCACAATACAATTATAAACCCTTGTGGCATCTTAAAGGCTACTGCAGCATAAGCTTTTGTGGCAAGCTCCCCAAGACTAATGTTTGGTGTAACAAACTAAGTTACTCCTCTACAATTTGTCTCCAAAGTAACAAAATTTAGAAGGTTCTCAAATCAAGCAAGTACATTTTGGCATGGGTAGCCATAGTAGGGTTCTTTCCTGCCAGTCACTGTGTGCTTGCAGTCAAGCACATGATCGACCACTGCAGTTCTACTTGCTGTAGTTCATTAGCAGTG